TTTTTTTTTTTTTTTTATATTTGTGTCTACTTCTCTTCCCACGAGAGTTTATTTGCGCGAGGTATAATATCAGGATGAAATGAAGCGAGAATAGAAAAGGGAACGGATTAAATCTATGAGTTATTTTGACAAGAGATTATTTGGCTCAAATATTTTTTTCCGGTTAAAAGAATATTTTTATCATCGCAAAAGAGTGAAAAATGTTAAACGATATGAATTTGTTGATTTTCAAAACGGATTAGAAGAGTCGCGTTAAAGAAAATAACAAAGTTTAAAAGGTAAAACATCCTGTATATTATACGCACGTATACTAACTTACAACTATATATATATATCTTTTTGAAAATCGGCTTGGTGGTTGGAAATGATTTCTCGGTCGACAGTAAATATAAAGTCTGAAAAGAGGAAAGCTTGCGACTGACTGGCGACCTTTAAATTACAGCTTTTTCTTCTTATTCCTCTGTGTCTGCCTCTTCGTCCAGCACACCACTCTTTAGTGAGCTTTTCTCTCGAGAATAACGTGAAATGTGTGTACGCGTTTGCTGCCTCGGCTTTTTCGAATACAACTTCAAAATGTATAAGAGAGGTAGAGAGGTAGAGAGAGAGAGAGAGAGAGGGAGAAGGAAACAAGAGGTATCTTTGAGCTTCTTCTACTTATCCGAGGTAACTCTGTATTTTATAAGTCATAAAAATCTTACTTGGAGAAGATAGAGGACGAGATAGAAAAGGAGAAAATGCAAGGTGTTACCGATCCAGCAATTTACTTCTCTTCTCGAGCTTTATCGTTATATTTCTCTGTGTACAATGGTCGGACATCGCAACTCACGATTATTTTTATATATTGCAGGTACAAAAGGATCTTCTCGACACTATTTCTATGTTATATCGTATATATATACGATATTTGTTTCAAAGTACTTGTAGTAAATTCGAAGAGAAGCTTCGTTCTCCATTTACGAATTGTAGAAGAGATTTTGGAAACCTCATGAAACCTCTTGATAGAGATTATTATTTATCTTAGTATGCTAATGATTATTATAACAGCAAACAAAAATATACTCACAACTTCCTGAAAAGTTCATCGGTCGAGTAATAGCATCGTATCTGTCGATCGATAATGCAACCAATACATAAGTAGAACTATAGGTAACGACGGCTTGCATAAACCGAATGAGTTTGCAGGCAATGTTTCCAGCATGCCAGGTGACCGTAGTTCTCCAAATTATATCCGTCAGAACTGATATCAAACCGACTAAAAGATCTGTGAACATAGATGAATAGTTAAGTGGTATGATTCATCGTAGTGCGTTATTATTAACTGCTATCCGAGTTTCGTCCACTTCATTTCCAAACGAATAAATATACAGACCGATGTAGGTGACGTCATTACGCAAATTCTTGAAATAAACGATGATACTAAAAGAGGAGGGAATTAGAGGCAAGGAAACGATTCCTCTTTATACTTTTTCCCTATCATTTCGCAAACGTTTTACTTCGTAATAAACCCTTTTTTTCTGTTTTAATCTCATAGAAAAACAAATATATTTTTGTACGTGTTGTCAGTCATACAAATATTCTGACACATTTTGAAATTTTTACTAAATATGCTCTATGAATTGTGTAAAGAATTTTTTAAAATACTTTCTTATAATAACAGCCATGACTAGAATAACATATCGTCTACATTTTCATTCAAATTGAATCGTATAAAGCAAACGAATGAATAGTTTTTGTGTAGTTTCTTTTGCACGTGATAAGAATTGTTAAATGTACATTCTACATTTGTTGTTTTATATCTGCGGGTTATGTCTATGAAATATTCTCGACTGAATGAATCTTCTTTCAATAAGATTTACCCTTGTTAGAAATATTTATTTTTCTAACAAAAAATCGTGCACGGTGAAATGAAAATGTCAGATTCTAGTCGACAGATTAATTTGCAACGCAAGAACCAATTTGATATTTTATCGAATATAGATCAGCGAGGAAATAATAATAAAAAAAAAAAAGAACATAAATCTTTTCAGTGTAAAATGAATTTAACAATGTGAATGTTCAATTAAAATTCACAGTCATTAATTCTTTTTTTTTTTTGTGGTATTTAAAAAAATATATTTTTCTAAAAGTTTTCTATGAAATTCTATAGATATGGTAATAATATACTAAAATAAACTTTGTAATTGATTTAGTTAACCTGCGAAAGCCAGTTGCTTGATGAAGAAATCCATCCGAGATTTTCGACGTTTACCCAACAAGAGACCAGCTAGAACAGCAGTGTTACCAGCAACGATCACAGCGAATAGTAACCACAATAATGTAAATTGTTCGGTCTGCAAACAGAGGAAAAAGAGATCATGATAAAAGATACGTGAGTCAATATTTATGAATACTTAATATGTATTTTTTGTATTAATATAAAAGAATATATTTTATTAATTGTATTATTTTAGTTAACAGAAGGATTAACGTGCTTCCTGCGATATTTTAAATCAGTCATAGAAATCACAAATGTCAAGAAGACTTCTCTCTGTTTCTTGACGTTTTTCTCAAGAAAAAAAAAAAAGCTTTAACAACTAAGCGAAAAGCACGGCGTCGAGAATTAATAGGCGACATAATGTTCGTGGCAAATCCAGTGTTGTTGTACTTGAGAGACGACCGAGAATTATTACAATCGTCCCTCCTCGAGAATCTCATCTATTTTCTCCGTCGTAAAGCGAAACGTACGCTATTTCGTCGTCTTCGTCGTCGTCTTCGTCGTCGTCTTCCTTCTCGTCATCGTATCACCAATTTTTCTTTTTTTCGCCTTTTCTTAAGGCTCCTCAAAAAATAGAAAAAAAAGAAGAGGAAGGAAGGAAGAGATAGTCGTCATTTCAACATAATTGATTTGTTTGCGTAGGTGAGCAACGACGAAGGTGCTATTAACCAACTTCTCCTCCTTCTTCTTCTCGTACTTGACTCGATTCGAGTTAAGATATCGCCCCCTTCTTAATTGCTATGTCATTCTCATAAATCACATGCGCTATGTGCTACGACTACCACCTACCTGTATATTTATCAGTAGGATAATTACGCGCTCGACTTCTTTCCGAAATTGCGATGAAAAGAGACCAAGAGTATCTTGTTTTTATGTAATTCTTTTTTTCTTTCTTTCATTTCGTGACAAAATTATTCTCTCTCTCTCTCTCTCTCTCTCTCTCTCTCTTTTGATTTTTTCCTCGACAAAATTTATTTTCACCATTTTTTATCTCTTTCTCTGGTCGTCAATATTTCTAATGTTATTGCAAAAGGATGTCGGATCGTGTGAGAAAGTGGAATTTTATATAATCTCGTATATATATACATATATATATATATCTATATTGTAATAAAATAGAGGCTCGTTATTTTGATTATTATTTTATATAATAAATAAATAGACAACGAATTTATTAATTTAGCATTGTTAATAAGCTAATTTTACTTTTTAGTATTAATCAACCAAATGCAATATGCGGCAGGGAATAAATTCAATTTAATTTATGATTTAACATTATAAGACTTATGTGATATGCATGAAGTGCATTCATATATAGATATATATATATATTTTCAGAGTCAGAGTGTTCGCGTTCTTTGAAAGGTTGGAAAAATTGTATTCCTCGGTTTATTTACTTAATCGCTGTGAAAATAGAACGCATCTTCGTGTTCCGGTATGAAGAGCATTTCTGTTCTTTAAAAATAATCTCTCGTAGAAAGAGCAGTCAGTTCTTAAATCGTATCATGCGAGTTTCTGGCAAATATAGTATATTCGCATGCATGTATGATGTACATAGCTGAGATAAATCTCATTCATCCGTTCTTTTTTTATTTCGCCAAATTACTTCAATCCGTTAATTGTTTTTGTTAATTGCTTTTTTTAATACTCTCCTACGTTTCACGAAAATTTTTTATATATATATATTTTATCTTTTCCACGAAATATTACAGATAGAAATGATTTCAAAAGATATCTCGTTACTTACTGTTATATAGAAATCAATACTGACAAGATCAGTCTGTCTCCTCGAATGGAAACTCGTACGATAATACTACTCTCCTAGAGCGATAGCTGTAAGCAACGTTAGCGAGTACTAGAAATCAGTTCGTCCATTACTCACTCAAGGAATAACAACTATAACGTACGATCGTGTACGCGTATCGTTGATGGCAGTTACGAAATTGCAACGTTTCATATATCTATGGTGTATCTATGTATAGATTTATATACGTAAGACACAAACGTATATTGATCTAAAATGTATCGAATTAGAGCAATTGTAATTTGCTATAATACTTTCTTAAAACAATCTACTCTATAATCTTTAAAATGCATGACTAATTTTCACAGACGTACAAGGAATCGTTTTCTTATATAATTTTTTATTATTTCCAGGGATTATCATAAAGATTTGAAAGAATTAATGTTTAATAACGAGTCTACAAGTACACATACATCATGCTTTGTGGAAAGGACATATAAGCAAAAACGTAAACGAGGATTGATGATGATGATAGTAGTAAGAGTAGTCCAGTGATCTTCTTCAGTGTACGTCATCGTTGAAGGTATCGTGTGAAAGACGAAGGTGAAGAAGGGGATCGAAAGGGATCGTAAAACATCCTATTTACGTCCACGAACGCAGATTACACCCCTCGGGAGTATAGGACTAGCCTGTGGCGACAGTATTTTCTTCCAAACGTTAAATTATCTAGCTATCTTACGACAAAATATCGTCGAATCGACGAATCTCCGCCCGAATGAAATACTCTCCTGGCTGACATTAATCTTCTTCTCTTTCTTCCTTCCTCTTTTTATCTTTTTTTTCTTTTTCTTTCTTTCTTTACCACACACAGACTGGCCTATTTCTTTATGAAATTATAGGAATTAAATTGATCTCTCTATGATTTTATTAAGTAAATAACATTTTGTACAAGAGAATTTAATTTTATTACATAGTATATCACTAATTACTAGCTATTATATTATGCTCGACAAGTGCTAGAAAGATTAATTTGTTAAGAGAATATTCGAACGAGGAAATAGAATTGTACGTGCGAAGTAAGAGTAGAAAGAGAATTGTGAAGAGAAATTGAGAGAGTAACGAAGCAAAATGCATCGATTATTTATACTCGTCATTTGATACCAAAGGAGGAAACGTTGAAAACGACTACAGATGTAAATCTTCTAGTTTGCAACGTTCAGAAACTTGGTGAAATTTCAAACAACTGGAAAGTCGATTTTAACGTGACAGGATTCTTGCTTAAGTGATCATAGAAACTAGAAATAGGAAATCTGCGATGAGATAGAAATGTAATCCTGAAGGTAATAAATAGTAAGCAAAGGTTTCCATGAAAATCACATTTTATATTGTTAACAAATAATGTCGTACATTTTTTCATGTTACTTTTCGATTTTTCTATTGAAAGAAAAAGAAAGCGAGAGAGAGAGAGAGAGAGATGGTTGTTTTAATTAAAAATTTTAATGAACGTACACGTTATATGAAATTTGTACGAGCATGCATATGACACACTACTTTTTCGAAAAAGAAGAATAGTTTTATAGATTCATTTAGGCGCATGGTTAGATTCATTTCAGAAAATTTGACATAACTTTTGCTTGTTAAATTATTACAAAATTTTATAATTTACGTATTAACACTTCCATCTTTCAGTGAATATTACAAAATACACTTTAAAATTATTTAGCAAAAAATTTGTTTATCGTTTATCGAGTAATTAATGCGCCCCTGAAACTAGAAAATTATTCTTAAGCTATACAGCAAACCAGTTCTTTGCAAGAATTTCATTTCTTTACAGAATACTTCGTTAATTGTATACAGGGTATTGTGTTAATCGAACTCGACTATTTCCTGCATTTTCTCTATTCTCAAACATGTTTCTCAACTACTCTAATTACTACGTTCTACCGTTTATTTGCGATTTATCGGGTAAACAATTCTCTTCAACATATACTTTTTTTTTATTTTCACATTTTTGTTTTTTTACGAGAATGTAATTAACTTTCCTCGTGTTAATTACTTAAAGAAAACAAAAGCGTTAGACCTGGTTTTATATCTCGTTAGCTTCTTTAACAAACAGAAAGATATATGTATATGTATAATAGTTAAAATTTAATATTTATAATTAATAATTAATATTTATTGTAGAATATTTGAAACTAAGAATGTATAAGAAAACTTTCGAATTGTAATAGTAATCGATGGTATAGATTAATTCACTAGACAAGATGTAAGAAGATTTGTCTATCTTCCAAAGTTTCTGTATATAGTTCAGTAAGATAAACTTATCTTCTTTTCTACCGCACGTTCAATCAGAAGAAGTTTGGTATCGACTTGCGATTAAGTTGAAAGCTTATTGTTAGTTACGATGAAACTGCTAATATTAAAAACTAACAATAGAAAATAGCCTTCTGTAATCCAAATTTTACCCCAAGCCGAATATAATTAATGAATAGAAATAAAGAATAGTAAATTAGAATTTTGTTGTCTTTCTAAATGGAATGCTAATAAGATGAAAAGAATATTTTTAATAAAATAGAAATATTTGTATTAATTGATATAAAAAATGTAAGCTTTTATTTTGTTGTCCTCTCTATCTTAAATTTGAATATTTGTCTTTTTTATTTATAAGATTTCAAATCTGGAATATTAAATGCATGCTAATATATTTATTTTATTTTCTTTCTTCAAAAGAAAATACATTTTCTACAAATCTACATAATATTAAAATAAATTAAGTTTATGTTTTGATTAATGTTGTCTAAAAAGACGGAAATGACGTATATCTAATTTCACACGCCATTTGTTTGAGAGAGAAAATATTTTAGCTTATAGTGAAAAAAAGGTAAATTTATTAAGACGATACTAATAACTAAAATTTTTCTTTATTTTTTTCATTTCAAATTTTATATAATAAATTATATTTTAATGCAAACTTTAAAAAAATGAATAATTTGTTGCGCAAAATATTTGCATTTCCGCTACTAATTAGCGAATCGTAGGGGAAGAAATGCGCTCATTGGTCAACGGTTTCATTTCAACTTCCTCTCCGTTAAGTGATATCATGGTGTTAACTGTCCGCGTAATTAAAAGTTATAACGTTTTTTTTTAAAGAAAAATGTCTTGTGATTTATATCAATCGATAGCTAAACCAATAATCTTTGTAAAGTTACAGTATAAAATAATAATATTATAGTGTTTAAAAGATATTCGCCAAAATAAATTTGGTTCTCCATTCCGTCATCGTACGGAGCCAAGACGTTGCATATCAGCCAACAGTGTAAAGTGGTAAAATATTTTAGTTAATTCATTAAAAAATAATTATTTATCTCTAGGACATTGAATATTAATATTAGGATTGATTTTTTTTGCATATATATTTTTTTTATTATATATTTAAATTTTAACGGAAAAAATTTGTATTTCGCAATAAGTCCACTGCGGCGCTACTGTGGGGGGAAGAGGAGGACCCCGTAGTCAACGGTCTTTTTTTGAATATATCGTTATTCGTTAGGTAATATCTCTAATTAATAAAAAGTAATAAGTTAGTTTTTTCTAATAAATAATTTCTTCTAATATATTAATCGATAGTTAAATATGTGATGTTCATAAGGCCGCGTTTATAAATCAGTGTATTATGGTGTTCCTAAAATATTCGCGAAATAAAAAAATGCAATCTGTGTTAAGTATATGTCGCCATTTTGTTAAAATTGTTGAAATCATTCATGATTGCTATTTTATATGCATAATAATAATAAATCATTATAATTACATTACATTATAATTATTTAATGATAATGAAATTAGAAATTTACTTTTTTTGTAGTTTTTACAGGTTTGATAGAAGCAGAATCATCCATCATCGTGATCGTGGGGCAGGATGCTCATCGTGCAAAGGATCAGCAATGGTACGGGTAAGTAAATTTATCTTTTTGTCACTAGTTTTTACAATTATTTAATGGCAATAAGATTAGAAATTTATTTTTTTGTATTTTTTACAGGTTTGACAGAAGCAGAATCATCCATCATCGTGATCGTGGAGCAGGATGCTCATCGTGCAAAGGATCAGCAATGGTTCAGGTAAGTAAATTTATTTTTTTAATCTTTTCGTCAATAGTTCTTACAATTATTTTATAGCAATAAGATTAGAAATTTATTTGTTGTATTTTTTACAGGTTTGATAGAAGCAGAATCATCCATCATCGTGATCCTGGGGCAGGATGCTCATCGTGCAATCATCAATGAAGATTCGAGGTAAGAAGAATTATTTTTTTTTCAATGATTCTACAATTTTTATATTCTAACAATGACATTAATTTTTATTTCTTTTTCAGACAATCATTGCAATCGCGCGCGAAGCAATGGACGCGATTGCTCGTTTAAATAAAATAAAAGTCGCGAATTAGATTCACGTTCGTCCGTTCGTTCGTTCATTCGTTTATTTCAATCCGTTCGCGTTCGCGTTCGCGTTTCTCGCTTTCAATTCGGGCGCGTTTCGCGACATCAATTTTAGAGAGATATATATGTAAATTGACTGCGTGCAAGCAGTCTTGGTATTAGGGCTTGTTCGTAAGTTTGATTTGTATTTTGAAACAGTCGTATAGACTGTTCGCGATTAGAATCAGTGCCTCACTGAAGACAACGAGAAATCAGAATAGAAAGAAGAATATAGGTAAATAAATTTATTCATTTCATTGCCAATGAAATATTTACATTATCTTTTTATTATAATAAATTAATGAAACATTTCAATTCTTTTTAGATGATCAATGGAATTTGGCCTTATCTCAACTACCTGAGATCAACCCACATCACTCTCAACCTTCCTTAATTTCAACTTACATCGCGATCGAGTGTTTTGGAGCCATCAGAGAACTTCTTAAGTAGTGAGCGACGAAATTTTAAGTCCCTCCGGTGCTCAATCATGCCGAGGATGAAAGGTCCGAATCGGCACGAGTTACTGGTTGTAATTATTTCAAGAAATTATTGACGAGCACATGAGTAATTCATCTTGGAGTTACTCATGAATAGTAGATTATCTTTTATTTATTTCATGTACATTTATTATATCAGGATAGGATCTTCTTGTTTCAACGGTTTCATTCATTAATTTAACAGTGCAACCAATTTGTGCACTTTCATTTACACTTCATGTTTTGTTCGAGTTATTAATCTTAAAATTTCTGCATTTATTTAACTTAATTTCATCACTAAAGAAAAGTAATGTAATATTGTTTTATATTGCTTGCTTTTTAATTAGTTTATTAATCACGATTTCGATATACGATAAATAAATGAACAAGAAGATAAATTTATTCGCGACGGATAGATTCTAGCAGTTAAGTGGTGGCTCAAAGCCCAGTTCTTTCATTAGAACAGCCAACTTAATGAAAGGAGTCGTCCGAGGGTTTCTTTATATATATTTGTTAAATTCTTAAAGTCTTAAATTATTACATTTTGAAATTTTTAAATTCACTTATAATCTTTTTAAAATTTATTATAAACAATTTGTAGAGTCCTTAGTCGTTTAGATGAATTTTTATAAAAATATATTTATGTGTTTATGTCTTAATCATATTTTTTAGATCAGGATTTTCAGCTTCTAATATACTAATCCCCCGTTTCTCCCCCCTATGCTTTCTGCGTTCTCATGTATGCGTGTGCCCAGGTGTTACACGTATATGTGAGAAACAGTTAGTATAGGTTTAGTTGTAATTTTGTTCTCCTATTGGCGACTGTCATTGGTTAGTGGTTGCACGGTGTACTTTGCACCTGTGTGTGCGTGTTAGGTGCGTGCATAGTACATCGTTTCGCGATAATTATTCTTATATACAAGTTATTGTGTGTTTAATCAATAAAATTACATATATAATATTATAAATATATTTAATTTTATTTCATATTTTATACGGTTTTGCATAATAGAGTTACTGCATTTATTTGTGCAAACTTTGATATACTTGTATGTTACTAGTATGCTATTATATACTAGTATATACCAGTATTTTTGAATTAGTCATATTTGCAATAATCATTAGCCTTGGCAGTCGATTACAGCATTTGGTACGTAACCCTATAAATTTAAAAAATACGCGGTTGAACTAGGGTGTCGGAGGTGCCCCGGGGCATGCTCTCTAGTTTAGGCTTTTGCACCCTGGTGGTATGTGTGAGAATCGTGGAGTGAATGGGTGGGTATAAATGTTTGCTCTTTTCAAATATAGGTAGCATACTTAGGTGTGAATGTTTATTTAATTTATAAGTAGGTAGAGAACGGAGAAGTCGCGCGATTTTGTAATTTCCACTCAGGAGTGGAAAATTTCTTCTCCGAATATTGTACAAAGTTTCAGCAATCCTTAGATTTATTGTTTTTTATTTAAATATTACTTTTATATGTTGCTGATGCTCTGTACCGCGTAATATAAATCAGTATCGAACGATTCCAAAATCTTTGTTTTCTTAAAAATTAATTTTTTTTTCGAAACAGTAAAGATTACTGAATACGTTGGATACTTACTTAATTTTAAGTATATTAACGCTTTGCTTTTTACTAATTCCTACTAAATATTTCATTTGTTATATATTTATTGTAAAGATAAAAGAAAAATATGGTCGAGTGAAAAAGTAAGACCATAAGATGTATGACAATTTGTTTTGCTTTTGTTTATTATTATTTCAATTTTTTAAATGCAAAGTGTTAGTAAAATAGGTTCATCGATTAGATTAAATATCTGTTGAGGCATTCGAGTAAATGTAATTGTGTACGATCTGTGGATATCTTTAATCCATTAGTCGTCCACAGGAGCTGCGATTGTTTAGGAAATTTATTGTAAAATGCGTTTAGAAAAAGAGCCTCACAGTAGCGTTTAGGGCACGAAGAAAGAAGAGGCATTATGCCGAAGAAGGCCCCACTTAATTGTGGCTGAAGAGGCCTATTTATTATAAGCCATTTTTTCAAAGGATGCAACATATTTGTAGACCTTTCAAAAAATGACTTATTATTTTTTATTTGCATGCTTTTATTATGCTCGTCTTTAATTTTCTTCAATTTGTTCTTTTTGTTTTGTGTATTTCTGTTTGCAGGAAGTTATCAATACCAATTGATATACTTGGATTAATTGTTATTTTAAATATCATATAACTAATATGTTTTCTTTTTTGTTTCAGGTGATCTTCGTTGGATTTGCCATCATTTATTATTTTTTATTTATTTATTTTTTTTTTTTTGACGATTCTATTTAAAATTTTTATACGTGAATTCGTGCATTTCTATAACAAATAAAAACATTTAATTTTACATATTTTTCAAATATATAAAAGAGTTTTCTAATTTGTTGTACTTTTTACATTCGTATAATTTTATTAAACTTATTAATTAGTTTATTAAATTCACTACTTCAGAATATTTACAACTATAGAAATGCATACAAAATTTATTATTACAAGAATAAAATGTTAATTATTGAAATTTATGTTTCAGATGCATCAATCTATGTGTTCCACATTTTAACTTATATACAGATCGTCCATACAAAAGTTCCATCGATCCATAATGGTTAATAAACTATGGTGCGTTTTCAAAACCTTTTCATTTAAAATTGCAACTTTATATTAAAGTATTTATATAATAAATTTAATTAGGAGATAAATAAGTTAGATAACATTGTATTATTATATTGGAGAAATGATAAACGCATTGAATACGCGTTGAATTTAATGAAAAGTCAATAAGATTGGTTTTTTAAAAATACTACAACTTCGACAAGAAGAGCGTCACCGTATACGGTGACGGGGCCCCCGGGGAAGCATGCCCGTCTCCGGTATACGGTGCCATGGTGATGAACGTATTAAATCATAAAAGTTTTATTTCTATATTATTACGTGTATATATTCGTAAACAGTATTATGCATTACTTTGACCACGCAAGTCGATAATAATTTAATTTAAACTTGAAAGGATTGTAGAACTCGGTAAATGAATATTTCATTACATTTTAATAAGTCATCATTACGATCTCATACATTTTACATTATCACATGTTTAAAAGAGATCTTCTAGTGATTTAAAAAATCTTGCTAAATAATTGACAAACATAAAAATTCATTGAAATATTAATAAACTTGTTGTTTAACATAGATTTTCGTATGCTTGAGAGTTTTAGTAATACTTCGTGAAAAAGAAAACACGTACACATAATTTATACACTAACAGTATTACCTAAATAATACCTAAATAAACATCGTTATAGTTCACGAATTATCGTGTTAAATGGAAAGGGTTAAAAAACAATAACATTTTTACGATACACGTGTAGAATTTGACTTAGGGAAGACGACCGAGTTGTATTTGTCTCGAGTGTTTAAGAGAACGTATATAGAAGTAGAGATAAACATAGTTTGAATAGGTCGGTAAAAATTGTTTACAAAAGTTCTTATCAATCGTAGTCTCACAGACACCGAACGAACGGTAAGACGTGTTTCCACAAATTTATTATCTCATCGAGTAAATCATTTATTTCGAATATTTTCATTATAAAACGTGATCAATAGACCAATCGACGATTTAACGAGGGCTTTATCTAAACATTTCATTTCATTTTCTATCTTCGCAGGGTATTAAAAATTATCATCAATTTTTCGAACAAAATTCTTTCGTATATAATTACATTTATAATTCACTGACTAGTTAAAAAATATTTGTTTCTTTGTAAAGAATCAACAAATGATCGATCTATTTATTTCTTTATAACAACAGCTGTTACAAGATATTATGAGTACGTTTTTTAACTTGCGCGTGCATTTACATTTTTCAACGTGATATTATAATTAATTTTCTTTTTTTTTATTATAATTTAAATTTTAAATTACAAGAATCTAATCTTTTTTAGCTAGCTCATTTAATGAGTTTCTTTATGAAGAAATAGAAGAGGGAGGGGATGTTTGATAGAGGATTTTCTAGGATATTCTAGGATAATACTTACGACTACTATTGCGAATCTTGATTTTCGGCGAAGAACACTTTTAGAATTGAATACACGGATATCGATTTAATAAAGCTCGTTACAGTATAAGTAGATTTATGTTAAAACTCTCTTGAGAACTCCTCTTGCAAAGCTAAGGAGAACACTTTGTCATATTTTTTATATTTTATTTAATAATTCTTATATAACGTAATTGCTAATGGTAATATAAATTACATTTAAGAATAGCACTCGTTTTTTAACTTTGTCCAAATAAATAAATCGGGATAATAATAAAAATAAAAAAAAAAAAAGGTTACAAGATGTTGCAGTAAAAGAGAAGCTAACGAACTGGTCTTTCATAATAAATTCCTCGAGCAATCGCGAACGATTATTACTGTAAAAGAGGCCGATCAAATCACCTGGAATTTCCTTCGTCAACGATAAATCTTAGAACTAGTCATTTCTAACGCTTTTTTTTTAACAACCAACCGGTCTATGATATATTCTTTTGGATTCCATCAAATGTTCGAGATATTCGCGATTATGAACAATCGATATAAAATAATTTAAACTTTGTTTTTTAGTCAACAATGTTCAGTATTTTTGGAATGATCAAAAATTTTGGGTGCAATTAATTGTAAAACGATAGAAGTTCACGTTTTATTTCGATTGTTATTTAATCGAATTCGCGGAATCACTTTTGTAAGTAAAGGATTTCGTCACAGGAAACGTAAGGATATATTGTTTCTCAAAGATAGAATTTCTAATCGAATTTCAAAGGATATTTATCTCGTGTAAATACTTTTTACATTTAAAACATTCATATTTTTAATTGAATAGAATGCAATTTTATTTGGAGAGATCGTAATATTAAAAATGATGATTTAAGTAATTTTTTTTTTATTTTATATCACACACACAGAGATAACAGTAGTTCTCCCTTCTTTAGATTGAAAGATATATTTCAAGAAAAAGGACCACCATGGATTTTCCTGTTTCTCTTGACCATTTCTCCCCTTATATAGTTTATCTCAAAAATAAACAAACCATAAAGAAACTTTATTCAAATAGAATTTACTAAAAGGACTATAAGATAAAAAGAGAATAATTTTTCTTGAAATATTTCTTCAAATAATTTTGGTTTATCATAAAAAAAAAAAACTTTAGATGATATAGTTATATGAAACATGCGAGTCAATTTCCAGTGTGTGTAGGGAACTTTTAGAAAACTAATTATAAGAAATAAGTAATATATAATAATAATAATAATAATTTACCTCGTAGAAATAAAATGAATCAATCTCCTCGGTTGCATTAACGTCGAGAAAAGTTGTATTGAAATATTCCTGTATTAGAAATATATCATCGGTTGAATTTTTTCCAATTGCGACAACAACGTCATCGCTTTGATTTCGATTACTTCTTTCCTCTCTGTTCTGATCGACTACCGACATTTTGTTTTGTCTTCTTCTCCTTCTCTTTTCTTTTTTTTTCTTTTTTTTTACAAAATAATTAATTCTTCAACGTTTTGTATATCCTTGAGATTTTTTATTAGACAAAGATTTTACGAACATCTTCATGAAATTTCTTTCTCAATTACTCTTCTTCTATCTTCATTTTCATTTGATTTTAATATTAAAGTTCGTGGCACCTTTCTTTCCTCTTTCTTCCAAGAAATTCTTCTCTTTTGAAGCATCTTTCAAATAAAAAAAAAAAAAAAGAAACGATGAACATGTATACGCGAATACACAAACACACACACAGATATCTAACACAGAGGTTTTTTTTTCAAATATATTTTCTGCATCGTTTTATTGAAACGAAAATCTACAATCATGCACGTTGTACATGGGATTCTACGAGCCATTTGTTTTAAACATTCCTCCTTCTTTTATCTCTCGCATTGTTTCTTTCTTTTCTTTTTTGTGGATATTTTCCTATGTAATGTTCCGAACTCGATAGGAGAAAAATCGAATACATAAGAAACTCGGATTCCCCCTGTTCTGCCCTTTAAAGTTTCCTTACGTAGATAGAAAGTGTTATAACTGTATATATAGAAATATGAAGGATCGTCTGATATATCGACAAAAAAAAGATCATTACACGTCGGTAATATAAAAAGAGTTCACTTATCTCGACTGGAATGTTGATAATAGAAACAAAAAAAGAAAGAAAGGAAAGAAAAAAAATACGAATTAAAGATAAAAAGAGATCAACAGGTTGTTATATGAAGGAAGGATTAATTACACGAGTAGTAGTTTCGTCGTTTCGAAGCATTGTTTCGAATTTAATGCGAAACAAGAGATCCTAAAGAATTTATTTTCTTTGTCGCTAAAGTAATTTTGTCGTGCCAGATATGAAAAATACTTTTCCTTTAAACAATTCTCAACAAAGTTACAAAAAAAAAAAAAAAACGAAGATAGAAAAGGAGAAACATTAAACAAACAAAAAAAATGAGGGTAAAGATGGAGGGTAAAGAAGGATGGTAGTTCGGTTTTCTCGTTAATCTTAAGCTCTTGAATCGTAAATCCCTTAGCTCATCTATCGGATAATATCCTTGCCACCTGTTTTTCTCAAACTTCTTTGAGAATCGATTGTACCGCGCGCGTCACTAAGGCAAAAAAAGGAAAATCCGAAGAGAAAAAAAAAACCGAGGGATAAATCTATATAGACGGGAGCCTTGAGAAAAACGAATCGGCGTGATCTCGGATGTGATTTCATCCACGTGAAATCGAATCCGTTTGATCCCCCTTTTTCTAGATGAATATTTTTAGTCAAACGATCAGTTTTTTTTTGTTATACAAAAATATCTCACTCTTGCGAATACAAATGATACCCTTGTTTCTTTGATCGTATTGTTTTTTTTTTTTTTATATTTCTTTCCCGATTAAAATCGTAGAAGAAAATTGATTACAAAAAAAAAAAAAATAAATTGTTATACATTAGTCTTTTTAGAAAATGTCGATTATGAAAATGAAAATGTGTTCACGTTTAATTTAAACAATTTAAAGGGATCGGGATCGATCGGCTTATCTGCGATACGCGCGTGTTAGACTCGATTACCAGGCATTCTCCAACGTAAATCTAATACGACTCAATTGTATTGACGTATAATCAAGCTAAACCCGCGCATTTATCTTTTACCCTAATTATTATTGTTTCTTTATCTTTTTTTTTTTTCAATCATTAAAATCATATTAATAATTCAGCAATCAATATCGTATTAAAGTAAGATAAATTTAAATGATTAATATGTGAAAACTCTAACTGGTTAATAAACATCCCACGAATCTGTTTTACGAGTCATCATTTTATGAATAACCAGTGCAATTGATATGTAATCTTCGCCAATTAAATAATGATAGAAAAAGACGGAGCAAATGATGGAGTAGAAAATAACGAGGAACGGAATTATCATTCAATTCAATTATGCAATTATTTTCTTTTCTGTTTTTTTTTTTTTTTTTTTTCAAATCATTTACATAATCTTCTTTGAAATGTTTGATCTCGATGTCTATGGAAGATTTCAATTTAGAGTTGCAATTATAGGGGGGGGGGGCGAAATGGTTTGATTGAAAGATACGTATAGAGTGGTATGGTATCTTTATCTCTCTAATTTGCCACCGAAGAATTTCAAAGCACTTTCAACCTAAATTAGAAACCAAAAATTGAGTTAGAACGAAGGAGATGATAAGTCTAGATTCATCCACGTGTGACGCTGAAATGCGATCTAAGAGTTATTTAGGTTCTTTTAAAGTGCTAAACGACGTTCAAAGTGATTATGTCTCTCATTTTCTTATCAAAAGTTTCTTTAGAGAAAAATATATTCGATGTGTATAATGTATTTACGACGGATTAATGACTTCTTTTCTTTTTACTTAAGAAAAATCTTCTCATCTCTTTCTTTACATCTCTTTTCAAATTATAATAACTTTGATAATCTTTGCTCGATAGTTTGATGTTTACAGTAATTGCATATTTCTGAGAAATGTTACTTTGATCAACAAAATAATGAGTAATACCGTATTACCAAAGTTTCTTTTAAACAAAAAATCTTGTGCAAAATTTTTAATAAATATTTGTAATGATGAATGAGAAAATAAAACAATATAGAAATATTGTCGATATTAGATTAGAAAAAAGGGAAAGAAAGAGATAATAATAATAAGAAGAAGAAGAAGAAGAAAAATAATAAGAGGAACGACGAAAATTACACTAAGCTCGTACGAAACGCGAAACGCGACTGAAGGAAGAGAGAACGGTGAGAGGTAGTCGCTTCAAAAGATCGCCGACGATGACTGAATTCGCGCGCACGCTAGTGAACGAGGAAACGAGTTGGTGGGAAACCAACAGCAACGAAAAAGGGAGGGAGAATGAACGACTACTGAATCCTAGTGATCCTCTACCAACCACCAAAACTTCATCTACTTTTTGCTCCAACTTTTATTATCTTTTTTACAATGTTCCTCGTAGAGAATCTCACCATGTTTTTACACACATTTTTTTATACCCATTCTTAATTGGAAATATTTAAATTATCAGTAACAGGTAGTTTCTATAACACCCACCATATAGAGGGAGAGATAAATATTTAATACAAACGTGGGTTACTTTAAAGTCATCGTTTTTTTTTTGTTTTTTTTTTGGATACGTAGGTGCAATTAATATTTACCTTGGAACAATCTTTATTAATTACATGCATAGATCGATCAAACTTGTTTCTTATACAATAGATAATATTGACAATAGATAATTATTAGAATTACGTACTCCTACTTCCTAAGACTCAAATGAAATCTAGTGCTAAATACTATTATTATTTATCTGGACTTACAAAAACCGTCCGTCATTTTTTCTATAACATTCAAACGTGCAATGATTTACCGAAATGCATTCGGATGCAAAAGCTGATCGTTCAAACGGAAACACGTTCACCCGTATTTCGGCTTCCCCGAGCTAATAAATAACGGTCTGCCAAGGGCTGTTATAAATAATTAAAATTTCAAATGCAATACACACGAGGATGGGGTATTTGATTTCGCAACACGTCCTGTACCGTCACGTTAATCGGTTTTCATTATTTTTAGGTCTATTCCTATTTTCACTATCATTGAATGTTATCGTTAACGCTTCGTTTAAATAGTTTTGCAAAAACAATTTATCTTAATACGTGATACCAATATTTTTGCAAAGTTAATTATATGAAACAATAGAATGACGTAAATTCAATACAATCGTCTTCCCATTACTTTGAACGTTTTAAATTTAATATTAGGAAATATTTCTTTTCCTTCCTCGTCTAATATCTTATCGTAATCTCTGGCTAATAAAACTTCGTATCCGCAACGAGCAGCTGATTTTTGAGAAATCGTCGAAGTAAATGCTGTTGCCGTCACCGAAACATTGTATGCACGACCAATCTGTTCCCTAAATAATTACACAAATAATAATTAGTTTAATTTCAACGATATTTTAGATGTACAAAATTAAATGCTTCCTTCTTACCTTACACTTAGAATATGTGCACCAAGATTTTGACCGCGATAGTAAGGATGAACACTTAAGCCAAAAGCGTACATATATCTGTCCGTATTGTAGTGTTCATAAATCTTCGCTTCTTTGCATATAGATACTACAGGATGGAATATCCTTTTAGCTAAAGTTGATTCCAACTAGACCAAAGTAGACCAAAGAAAATGAATAATTGTACCCTTACGAATGACTTCCAATTTGTATAGATTTTTATTTGTATTATTTACCGGATAGTTATCAACTTTTCTTTCGTCATCTTTAATCTCAACTCCTATTATATTAGCTCCCGCTATTTCCGGTTTACCACCTTTGGGATCTTCGACAAAGGCACCAACCGCTAATCCTTGCTTTAAAACTATTGTCCATACATCACGAAATTCTTGCATAGCTGACGGATCTTCACTTATCTCTGCAAACATTTTCAAGTGTTTAATGTTGTAAAAAAGATAATGTTGATATCTCGTGAAAAAAAAATAAAAAAATTCAGTAGTTTGCGATATCAACTCGGGATAGATATCTTTTTCATACTTGATAGATACGTGAAAGCAATTTGTTTTTACATAAAAGATAACCGTTTGCAAAATTGATAAAATAATAAATAGTCGAGATGCAATACGCCCATCAATAAATTAACATTTCTATGAAATAATCGTATTACTCACTGAGACTGGAACAACAAGGTTCGTCTACGATGAAATACGTGCACATATGATCGAGAAAATCATCGTATCTGTCCTCCGGTATTTCTTGCAAAATTATCTTAACTGGTTTAGATTCATCTCCAACAGTTCGAAATCCATCAACCGTCTTCCAAATTTTAATTGGACCGGGTGTTCTAATCGGCGGCAATTTAATATCATCGAGATCAATACTTCCTTGACTTTTTTTTACAATTCGACTCATCCTTCCGTTTTGTTGTTTTCGAGAAAAACGCTTTCAAAGTTTCGTGTAATAAGAGTAGGATATAGAATGCCGCGTCACTAAAACAGCTATATCTCCAAAAATAAATTGAATTTTGAAAAATCTTCTTGAGGACATATTCTTAAAAGGTTAAGCTTTGAAAATACGAAAAAAAAAATCGATTTTTTGAAAATTTTAGAGTGGTGTTACCCCTCAAGTAGCGATTCAACGTGTTGATAGGACGTATAGTATACCTTATTATAGGTCAAGTGGTTAAAGACAGTCCCCTCTTGGCAAACGATAAATTGAAGAAAATTGCACTTAGTCGATGTGTTTTATTTATTCAGGTTTAGTACCAAGTGTTATTATATTTTTCTTACTTATGTTCAATTCGATGAAGTAACAAACTGATCAACTAAAAACCGATTGTGTAACGAAGCAGAAGTTATTAACATCGTCCAATTACACAGATTAAAATTCGCAAGTCACGTGGCGCAAATGAATTGTGTAAAATACTTCAGCGAAAAAAAACCACTGATAAGACCAAAACGTAAATAGAAAGATATTAAGAGAAGTTTTTAAGAAATTGGATACGAAGATCGTGAATCGAGGGGTCGCGGCCACGGACGGAAAAAAATGGCGGATTTGATATTGGAGATAATAAACTTTGGAATTGCTAATGTCAGCTAACAATAATAATATTAATTTGCTAACGATCACTTTGTATATCTTGAATTTTTCGTTAAAATATTGAATTTGAAGTGCACAATTAATTGGCAAATAGTTGATTTATACTCACTTTTCAAAATGAATAATCAAATGTATTTAAAATCTTGGAAAATGTAGTTAGAAAACTGAACTTAGGTGAATTGGCAATAGTAAGCTTGCGACTTGTCAGTGATCTATGATAAAATGCAAGTAAGAAGATCTCGAGAGAGTGGGGTAATTTAAACTCATTCATACTTTACGTAATATAACTGTCTATAGTTTACGTAAATAAGAAAGAATAAGAACAATACTAATGGGAGGTTCTCGTATTGTAAATTACTTGTAATTTTTCTAATTAATTAATTACTTATTATTTATCAATTAATTGTAAGTATGTCCGTAGTCGTATCATCGAGAACATTCCTATCAATTCTGACAGTGCAATTCTGCTTGGTGATAACGCCTATACCTCGTTAAAACTGCATATTGCATAATCTTAACATGATAGTAGTAATCACTTGTAACATTTAAAGTAACATCAAATTATTGTCTTATCACTCGTGCACGACAATAATGATAACAAATATACCTTTCTATGGCAATTAAATGACACACAAACTATTTCCTGTATACTAAATAACCAATTTTTATTTCTTTTTTTGTTTTATTTTGTTACATACACGTATTAATAAAGACAAACATTTTATATATACAAGATTTACAATTAATCAAAATAATATATCAAAAATAATATTCATCATATTTTAATTTATTTTATTTTATTTTATTTCGTAAAGTCAGTATTGAAATCATAATTGTCCGACGACGATAGATTAAATCCTTCCAATTGATCAGCTAGGACAGAAGTTGCTTTCTCTGAAATCGTATAATTAATTAAATCAATTTAGAATAGACTTATAAATGCATTTTCTGTAACAAGGATTTATAATAATATACCTCTTCGGGCTTTATCTTTCTTTTCTTTTTTAACTTGAAGTTTCTGTAATTTGTTTAATTTTTGATTGCCTTCCAATTCCATCAGAGGATCCGTTTTCTTTTTCTGCTCTTTTTTATTCACTTTAGGTTTAGCTTCGAGTTTCTTCTTTAATTTATTTTGTATTTTAAATTCCTATAGATAACAAATTGAAATACATTTTGTTATATATTATTGAAACATTAAATGAAACACATGTGTTTTTACCTTATCTTTTTCGATTTCTACTTCCATAAGTGATGTTACGGGTCCTGTACTGTCAAATAATACTGGTTCTGCTGTAATATCTTTATTTGCTGCTTCAACATTATCTAACATCATCCTTTCTTCAGCAGCAAAACTTTCAATATCAAATTCTTTAGCCATTTGGCTAACAATTTCTGCAGATACATGGCACAGAGGTTCTTCAGGTGGTTCTGTATAATACCTAAAGTACAATATTGAGAATTTTAATAGAGGAAACTTAAGAGACATGTAAATATAGAAGGTTTACCTTATTTTTCCAGAGTTCCAATCTTCTAAAACACAACGTGCAGCAGTCAATTGATTAGGAACACCACCTCTCTTAAATTTTCCCATTCTTGTTGCTCTTAAAGCAAAAAATTCGTCAGGTGAATTATATTCTGGTACATCATACAAATCCATAACTTGTTGTTTAGAAAGTCTTCGTAAAATTGCAGTAGCTGGTGTGTATGGATCTTGAAGAGCTTGAATTCTAACTGCATTTTTAAGAGCTATGGATGTATCATCATCCTTTGATGATTGTTGAGTAGCAAAAACAATACCAGGCGAATCCAATAATTTGATTTTAGAATCCAATTGTACCACTTGCATTGATTTTGTGACACCTACGAGTAAAAAACAAAATAAAGAATCTTTCTACGGATAGAAATAATTGATGTTGCATTTAAATAAACATTCAGGGTACACACCAGGTACACTTCCAACATTGCATGCCCTGCTTCGTTTTAGAGAATTGATGACACTTGATTTTCCTACGTTAGGAAGTCCAGCAACACCCACTCGAATGCTTGTCTTAACATTGCCACTATTTCTACAATAATTAGCTAATAATGATAACAATAATTCGGCACCAAAGCATGTTCCACTTTGAATCATAGTTTCTGTCTTCTTTCCCAACTTTCTTCTGCCTAATTTTTTCGATTGATCTTGAGTCGAAGATTTAAATGCAACTGTTGGTAAACTTCCACGCAAATACTTCAACCATTTGTCTAAATTTTCTCGTGGTACTAAATCTGCTTTGTTCAACACTAAAACTAATCGCTTATTTCCCTTAGCTGATTGGACCGCTTCTTCTAGCTAAATACAATTTATTTATTCATCGTATTAAATAATTGTTATTGTCAATTGTTATTTAACAATGATGATTACAAGTATTACAATATTTTCTTATTTACCTGTTTGCATCTAGTGCCTAACGGATCGCGTGCATCAACAACTTCTAAGATAACATCAGCTGCATCTAAAACTTTCTTAAATTCTTTGTAATAAGCCTTTAATGAATTTTCTTTTTCTGCGACAGCATCCTTAATTAGTTGACTTTTATTGTCATCTATTTCCATGGCTTCATGTTCTTCAACCTTTTTCTGTGCATCTTTAACTAATCCTTGCAGACCATTTTCGGCAAGTTCGGTACGCTTTTTTTGTTTAGCAGCTTCCCTCCGTTTCTGTTTCTCCTCTTCATTTTGTTTTTTCATGGCTTCTACTTCCTTGAGAATATCTTCTTTAAATGGACACTGATTTGGAATTTCGATTACCTTGGGTTTTCCTATTTAAATAAAAGGATTCATTGAAATGATTTTTATCATTTAATTTCATAAGTAGAACATTGCAAAGTACCTTTCTGTTTCTTCTTGGCTTCTTTCCTCATCTTTCGATTGTGTTCTCGGACTTTCTTTTCTATTTTATACCTTTTTCTCGCAGGTATGCGTTTGCTTGGTTTTTCTGTTAACAAGAAAATTGCATTAAATGGAAAGAAATTTCAAAAAAAAATTACAAGTTCCTTCAAGAATTCATATAGGAGCAGCCTAACCTATACATTTTTTTTATTATTTTAATGAATGTGGAACTTACTTAAACAAAATTTGGCCATTTTTTATAATTATTTAATGTTTCTAGAATTTAAATAAATGTTAAATTGCTTATTTATATTATTTTTTATCGGAATATCTGAGAATGTCCACGTGCTAAGTTCTCGATCCAAAGGAGAACGCTAAGCGTCAGCAGGTTCGGTAACTTAGCAGCGAAAAAAATTCCTATGCGTTAGTCTTGACTGTATTGGTCATTTTGAATCATTAAAAACGGCTGTTGTTTCTTATATATTTTCTCTTATTCGTGTGCGTATAAAACACAATAAAAAAAACATACAACAATAATCGTGCGAGAAATTTCATTGCAATTTCATTGCAGTGTCTTTCTTTTTTTTTTTTTTTTTTAAACTTTCTGAACGCAGACTGTTGAAAACGTCGTGGATTATTGCAAATTAATGAAAAATAAGATAATGGTAGAATTAAAAGTTTCCTTTATTTATTACTATGTATGAGTTTGTTCTGCTAATCGTTCCAGTTTCGTATTACATGAAAAATTCATTAAGAATACTTTCACACACACACACGCACACACACATCGTTCTGATCTGTCCTAGAGTAAAATAAACAATTGAAACGGTGAAAGGCATTGTCAGACTCATATGAGAATTCTCACACTTTCATTGGAATTTATAAAAAGCGTTAAAAAAATTCCCCGTTAAACATACGTAAACATAGACACACACACACACACACATTTGTAGATGCGTGACACAAACATAATATAACACATACGCGAAAACGTTGTTGGGAGAGATGAGAACAGAAAATTCTCACAAATTGTGTTTCCCATGTGAAGCATCATACTTTCGTTTTTGCTATCAAATTTCTCCATGCTTATTAATAATCTTTAATATCTTGTTTAATCATTTACAAAAGAATGACAGTATAGGGAAATCATGAGAGATCGATTAGAAAATATTGGACATTTTTAAAAACAAATGAAAAAGTATTCAATGATGCAGCGTATGTTGATTACATCTTTAGAGTCTTCCTATTGGCTTATTTTTTAATTCAAATCTCAGGTAATAAATGGCAGAGAAAAAAAAGAAAACATCGGTTGCATAAATAGGAAAATGCAACAGTGACATGTGCATCGAATGCAAAGCGTTGTCATTGGCTAGAGACTTATAACTAGGAATAGTTATTTATATAGTCAGCAGATGTCGTTTTCATTGTGAAGCTTCATTCATATCCGTAATGGCCGCCTTATAGCGTTGTTCGGTTTGGTGCGTTCTCTTCGCGCGCGCGACGGAGAGAGCGCGAGAAAAGGGCAAGGAGAGGGAGTAAAAGCATAGAGTGAGAGAGAGGGAGAGCGTGAAAAGAAACTCCGGACGTGCTGTCGTGAAAATTCAGTAAGCGCCGATCAACGTCGCGTGCTGTGAAAGTGTTTGCTTGTCTTCAAGTAAAAAAAACCTTCCTCCTCGTTTTCTTTTAACCAACGGGGGTAATACAAGAAAGTACCGTGTTACTTTGGAAATACCGTTCCAATCCTTCCAGTATAGTTAGGAGTAGTTTAACGAATAGCATCAACGAGATTCTCCTTCTTTTATGAGGTGGACCTAGTGCTTGCTTCCTCAGATCTGTGTATGATGTTTCTGTGAGAGAGAGAGAGAGAGAGAGAGAAAGAGTTAGTGTGTGCGCGAGCGAGCGCATATGTGCCTATGCGTTTGCCCTTATTGGTGGTGGTGGTGAGTAGTGTGTTTCTCTCGTTTGTACGATCACTTGACGAGGGGGTGTTGGAGGAAGAGGAAGAAGAGGACGACGACGACGACGAAGACGACGAAGACGACGAAGACGCGCGTTGTCACGTTTCACGTGGACAAGCGTCCTTCGTTATTGTATTACAAGAAAACAGACGGTGATAGGTGAAATTGTATGAGACGCCGCTTGTTCGTCACCTTAGTTTTATCTCTTCGAGACGATCAAGAACGAGAAAGAGAGAGGGAGAGAGAGAGAGAGAGGGAAGGAAGGGAAGGGAAAGAAAAAGAGGGCAGACTGCGCTAGACAGAAGGAGGAGGAGGAGGAGGAGGAGGAGGAGGAGGAGGTATCACGGTGTTCGTAAACAGAAAAGTGACAGTCCATCAGTTGGACGTAGAAAATTGAAGAAATAAGAAGAGAGACTTAGTTGAACGTTGTCGAGAGGAAGGAAACCCGTTGACGACGTTCGACGCTCACGCCTCCCCGCTAGGAATTCTCTACCGTGGTTCAAGGTCTTCTAAAATCATCCAAGTACGTGCAGAGAGAGAGAGAGAGAGAGAGTTAGTCGGTCTGCCTGCCAAGGCTCCTCGAAAGAACACGACAGAGGTTTACTCTTTCTCACGAGAAAAACAACTTATTGTTAGTTGGATTCTGATTTTGTTTCTTGATTCTGGTGGTGCTTGAGAGATTTGGTGCAGGATAGTGCGCGCGCGACGTTGACATTAATAACAACGTTGACGTTGACAGTGACGTCGTTGACAGTGACGTGCTGCTAACGTTGACGTTTTATACCTCCTTTCTCCGTTAAGAAAAATAATCCTCGATCTAACGTACTTTCAAAGCTGTGCAAAAGAATATAAGAGGAACAGGTGTGTAAAACGTTGTCCAAGTTTTTATTATCGACAATTTCATTTTTTTTTTATTATGTTGTTGTTGTTGTTGCTTATATAAAAGACGAACAAATTATCTTGAGCTCGTCGCAAAAAAATAAATAAGATATCCATCATCCTTGATCGTTTAAGTATTTATTATTTTTTACGATACTCGGTGCAGTACATTGTGTCTTCGTTCGCTGATTCGAGTATTGTTTTTTTAACTGTTGTGTTATCATCGAATAACACAACAAATTGTTTAAATAAAAGTCAGCGAGTAGATTTGGTCGTAAAGTCAATTGCATGAAATAAGCAGTCCAAAGTAATTGTATACGGGCGCGAGTCGTAAAAACCTGATCGTCTGACGTTAAGTTAAAAATAAAGAAGAAAAAGAAGAAAAAGAAGAAAAAGAAGAAAAAGAAGAAGAAGAAAACGTGACTCGAGCCACCTTCGTAATTACCGGCACGTGGAACGAATTTTGTGTACTTCGTTTCGATAAGAATCGCGACACGTTGCGTTTTTGCCGGCTTATTTGCAACCACGTGCGTTCAGCTGATCAATAAAAAACAAAAAAATAAAAAGGAATACTTGACGCGCCTCTTGCTTGATCTGAATAGATTAAAATATATCGAAGATTAAATATACAAATAGTTGCCATTTAAGAGATCGAACGCGTTTAACATTCAATGGAAATTAATTGATCATATTTCAATTATTATTATTATTAACGATAATTATTCAATTTGTCGATAAGAATAAAGGAGAAATAAATAGATGCTTTTTAACCGTATTCAATTAAGATTAGAATGCGCCGAAGGTAGTTCGTTTACGTAACTAATCAGATAATCGGTTTACCGGTAACGATCGTAGTTATTCGTTCGTCGATCAATTCGATAATTTGTTGATGCGATAAAAATACACCTTTATGAACATATATTCCGATAAAATAGTAAGTTATGCGGTTGCATTCCGAATGTTGTTTAACTCGTAGACGTTGATGTCATAGGTACGAGAGGATCGAGAGAATTTTGGAAATTCATCCAGAATAAGAAGAAGAAGAAGAAGAAGAAGAAGAATTATGTGTGCCAATCGATGAAACAGAGTCTTCCTTTCTGATTGTTTCGAGTAATTCCACTGCCAAAAAGGGAGACTTTAGAAGTTTCGAGATAGAGAAAGAAAAATACAACAAGAAAAAATAGAGTTAGATAGACAAGGAGAAAGATGCCAAGCTGTTAGATTAGTTTAAGAGAGCCCACATAACTTGGAAGTCTTCCCGAAGAAACATTGTTGCTGTGATTCCAATCTAAGAAGAATAAATCTCCCCTAGTTCGTCATTAAGATCAACATCGAGGAGTATCGTCTTGTACATGGCAATGCGGTGCCATCATCGTCGAACCTTATCGCGCAGTTATTCATCGTGTTACTTAGAGTGGAATTTACAAGAATAACAGCTAGGATGTTCGGGAAGGTGCCAGTCGGTATAAATTCAAACGTAGGCCCTGGACCACCAGCACCAGCACCTAATCAAAATCCCACGAGCAAGGTGTCGTACGGTACGAGGCCAACGACTGGGACAACAACGTGCCTTTCGTGTTACGAAGTAGTACCAGCTGTTCTTCAGTCGAGTGCTTCCGATGATAAAGCAAAGTCTTGGTGTCCGGTGCTATCCGAGTCATCGTCAACTTGTAATCCTACGCAAGATCGTTCCTTCCCCTTGTCCACTTCGTCATCCGTTTCGGAGATCAACGGAGTGACGAGAAACGAACAACAACAACAACAACAAGCTTCCTTTTCGACAAACAGAAATCTACAACTCGCAAATAAATCCTCGTCTTCCATTAAAGATTCCACGAGGATTCACAGATGTTATTCCAATCCGAATTGTCCTGGACTAGCGAGTACAACAACGAAAACGTCTATCGGTAGTATTTCGCCAAGATCCCAGAGAATTACAATCAACTCTGTCTCTTCCAATCTCGAACCGAAACTTACGAGAAAACATTCGGTCGGTAGTCGAGAGTCCAAATCTAACTTTCGAGATTTTGGTCAATCGAGAAATAACGATGATAGTTGTCACAATGTCGAGGAAGTTCCAAACGTCGTTGAGGAATACATGGATCCTTCAACGATCCTGACGGGCACAACTTCGACCGTTCATCAAACTCGAGCTATGCAAAAATCAAGCTGCTCGAGGTCTAACTCAACACCATCAACAACAACAACAACAACAACAACCTGCGATAATCCTTGTTGCTTCGAAAAAAGTGATTCTATCTCGGCCAAGGATCATTATCATCATTATCAACAACAACACCACCACCACCACCACCATCATCACCATCATCATCGCAACAATCTTGCCCGAACACCGGCCGAACTTTTGCAACAAAATTGCATCGATTTCGTCATCCAAGATTTACCAACTGAATTACAATCGTCTCCTAGAAGTTACAAGGATCGTGAAAAAACTCGGGACACTTGGAGACCAACCGAGATGGAAGGAAATTTGTGCGGATTGAATTCTTCTTGCTCTTCTTCCGGTGACAACAGCAACTTCCAAGATGGTAGCACGTCCAAGAGAAGAACCGGTGCATCCTGTCAAGCCCTAAGGCACGCCGTTGCTTCCTTGAATCGTCTCGATGACTTTTATATGGAGAAAATTGGCGCTGGTTTCTTTTCCGAGGTGTACAAGGTACAAAGATTCTACTTTAGATAGGATTACTTTTATCGTTTACGTTTGATTAATTTATCATTAATCAATTATTTCCATTAGATAATCTAATTGTTTGAGGGTCAAAGTCGACATTTTATTTTTATTTGTGTTATCATCATCATCATTGTTACATATGCACATGGTGGTTTTATCAAAGAAATTGACTATTCAAATATTTCTTTTATTTGGGTTTTCTTATCGAATCGATTATTATTATATCGTGCGTGCAAAGAAATCCGTAGAAACTTGCGAATACAATTTCGCATCGAAGGAACGTTATCTTTTGCAGATTAGTATCGGTTCAGATTAGATACGGTTGCGAGTCGAGAAACGAGCACGTACAACAACACAACGAAGAACCAGCTTAGAACTCTCTCCCTCTCTCTCTCTCTTTTTCTTGACTTCGTCAAATCGTGTTTCTTCTTCTTCTTCTTCTTCTTCTTCTTCTTCTTCTTCTTCCTCTTCTTCGAGATGTAATCGGATCTTGATATTTTTCCTGTCTTGCCGGAAACTTCTATTTTCGAGAAACTCAAATCATCAATGTTTGAAGCCAAGTCTTGTTTTTTTCCTCATGTTTGAACATTAAATCAAAGTATCTTTTCCTTACGCGAATTCATTTTAAATGATAATCATTAGATTATTATCTTTTCATCACTCATAAAACGTAAAACGTGTACGAGTTTCGTGTTCAGTTTCGTGAATTATTTCTCGTGGTTGTTTAAATTCTTATTAGATCTTCTATTGGATAACAAAAAGGAAGGAATAGGATGTTTCGTGATTATTTTTATCGTTATATAAAAATGAGTTTGTAAATAGAAAAAAAAAAAGAACGGAAATCATTTAGGAATCATCATCATCATCATCATCATCATCGTTATTTTACGTCTGACTTCCTACTCATAAGTTTTATATTCTTTATAAAATCCTTCCAAACATTTCCAATACAAATTTCTGCGGGGAAAAATAGAATCATATTATAGTTAGATAGCAAAAATCTTCCGCATGTTAAACGAATGAGTTTTAGAAAGCGCCTTTAGTCGTTTAGAACACGTGACGAATGTTATTATTTGACGTATGGCAGCTTGGATGCTACAATTTAACCAACAGATGCGTTCCAAAGAAAGAAAGAAATAAAGAAAGAGAGAGAGAGAGAGAGAGAGAGAGAGAATATCTGGTAGTTAGAAATGCGTTAGAGACCAAGTACCAAGTTAATTGAAAGAAAAAAAAAAATAAATGAAAATTGGTTCCCTCTTTTATTTTTTCAATTTTTCAATTAGAAAGTGTTGTATTACCGATGATCTACGGGAAATCGATGTAGAATGAAAGTAATCGATCAATTTGTTTGATCACATCACGTCCGATATGATTTAGATTTTTTATACAAAAAAATAGTACACAATTCCAACTTTTTATTATGTTAATTCATAGTTTAATCGTGTATGAATAAAAAAAGAGAAAAAAAGAAAGAAAGGAAACATGGATGGTTGGGTCAGACTTGCTAGCCAGAGGTCAGACATTCTTGGCACTCATAGTAAGAGAGGGATGGTACTATGAGTTTGTTGCCAAGATTTTGGACCGAACTGCTGTTCTAGCAGTTTTCCCTCACTGACATGAGAATTATTCAACGATGACGATCATCTCGAAAAGTAAGAGAAAGATAGAAAGAGAGTGAGTGGTTTCTCGTTGGCAACACAAATGATTCCTCTCTCCCTCCCTCCCTCCCTCCCTCCACCCAACCAACCAACGTTTCTCTCTTCGACTTCGTTAAAAGACGTTATCATCGTGATGATCTTCTCAGGCGAAGGTCGTCAAATTAATTATCTTGCAGTGTATTAATCGAGGTCAAGGACTTTAAAGATTCATCGAGATATTTCTTTGGAAAGTAAATCAAAAATCTGCGATTACATTGCATTTGTTGTTGTTTGCATCGATGCATAAGATATGATTCAAAACGTTTAAAAATACGTGGGAGATTTTTGAGTCGAATCGAGAAACGGTGTATAATTTCATTGGATAGAAGCATCATCATCATCATCATCATCAGCAGCAGTAGCAGCAGCAGAGTTTTCGTCTCAAGTATTACGAAATTCCCTCGATTTTGGACGGTATTCAAAAAGTGACTCATTGTTTTTGTCAATCGTTGACACCACGTTAATTCACGACTTCCTTTCCATTTGTTTTTTCTTCTATTTTCTTATCATAAAACAATCTTTTAATAATAACTATAAAAAAGAAAAAAAAGAAAAAAGAAGAAGAAAAATAAATTATTAATTGTTTCGTTTGATATTGAACATCGATAAATGTGAGAAGGTGGGGAAAGTGGCGCTTAAAGGATTGGATAAAAAGACGACCTTGCCTTGTGTGACACAAGAGTTAGCAGCAGCGGTGCACCAGCTATTTCCTTTTCTTCTTCCTCCTACTCTTTTTATTCTTTTTGTTGGGGAGGTATGGCGAAGGAGTTAGCAAGCGTATAAAAGAATGTTGTATGTGTGTGTTGGTGGCGGAGGAGGAGGAAGAGACGAGAAAGCCGGTCACGGCGAGTTGGCCATGGAGTACGAACACTCTCTAATGAGACCCTCTTACGGACCCCGCGGTCGTTCACTCTTTTTCGATCCTCCCTACTTCCCATTTCAACCCCACCATCATCATCATCATCCCTTCTCTCTTCTATATCTACATTCTCTTACTTGATTCATTATAATCGAGTTGACGAACCCTAACAGATGATGATGTTGATGATGATGATGATGATATTCCTCTTTCTCTCTCTTATTATTCCATGAGAAATTGTACGATGATTGCAAACAGATCAAACTTATCGATCTTTTAAGTAATTTGCATTAATTTACATACATGCGTTTATACATACATACATACATGCATGTAAAATTCTTCTTAGGGTATTTAATTAGACCGATAGCGAGATCATGTAAAACGAGACTATTTACTAATTAACCAAGCAAATATACTTCCACCTTTGTTTCTACAAACACTTTGAGCTAAATAATTCGATCTAAAAGGATAACTGATAAAGTTTAGTCGAACATTTTTTTCTTTACCAACTCGTCAGGGTTTTATTTAACAAACGTTTTCTTTTTTTTATTCTGTTCTTTTGGCAAGCTTTAGATATCAGCTTTAGATATTTAGTAAAAAATTTATGGTCTTTTTGGGTTGTTATATTTATTTTCTTTCGTAAAATCAGTCGTGTTATAATTCTCAGTTGATGTGTCCTTTAGTTCATTTGATTGCAGCAATGAAACACTGTCGTAAAACGTAATATCACGAGTCTAAAAGAGAAATAATGGTACAATTAACAGTCCCCGAGGTCTTATCGTTAAAATCTCAAGGTAAAGAATTAAAAAAAAAAAAAAAAATATCAGTGATTTTTTGAAGGTAGAGAAAGGATCAAAAAAAAAAAAGAAAAAGAAAACAAAGTTGGTCCGATTTCAAAGCCATTTTTGGTGTTCATTGAGGTCGCCATAAGTTCTCTCGTGAGACGTTTATATGTTTCGTCGTGTATATGTTGACGACGACTTCGTCGGCCAGATGTTGTGTCGGAGGTTTCATTAATAAGTTTCTCTTTCGTGAGAATCACTTCGGCGTTCTTTCACTGCGTTCCACACTTCGAGCTGTGAAAATACGACGCAAGATTTGTATCAAGAGTAGTACAAGGCGGACGAGGACGACTATGATGATGATGATGATGATAATGATGATGATGATGATGATGATGACGACCAAGACCAAGACGAAAATGATGATGAAGAAGAAGGAAACGAATCCTCTTATTGCGATGTCATCCTCGAGAACTCGCGTAATCGCACCTCGTTTTCCATTCGCGAATGGTCTTTTTCTTTTCAAGGGAACAATTTATGAAAATCACCTGGTCATGGGGAGGGGGAGAGGATTGTCTTTTATGTAAATTAGAAATTACCTTAACAATGTCTAGTTTCTAAAGAAATGATTCAATTAGTCTGAAACCCAAGCAATTAACTAAATTATCAATTGGAAACGTTCGATACTTCATTGGAAATTCATTTTTTTCTGACGTTAGTTCGTTTTAATTTTATTTTTCAGGTTACACATAAGGTAACTGGTCAAGTGATGGTCCTAAAGATGAACCAGCTGCCTGCTAACAGGCCAAACATGTTAAAAGAGGTTCAACTTATGAACAAGCTCAGCCATTCGAACATACTCAGGTAAGATCGTGTTTTTTTTTTGCTCGAATCCGGTTCACTTTTCAAACCGACAGTGAAAGAACCTTGTGTAGGATTAATATTCGTAATGTTATTAATAATTAGAGGTAGATTTAAAAGATTGAAAAAAAGAGCTAGGTTTAGTAGCTGTTGTAATAACACTCGAAGTTATGACATAACGGGTGTCCCGCGCGATGTTGCTAGATGAAGAAGAAGAAGAAGAAGGAGAAGAAGAAGAAGAAGAAGAAGAAAATGAAGATGAGGAGATTGAGGGGTGAAAAGGGGGAAGGAAAACGTGCGCATTCACCGGCGACAACGCATTCCGTCGTTATAAACGGCTTGGCCCACTTTCGAATGTGTTTATTCCCCTTTGCCTCTAGCGGATCTTATTTCTGGCATTTCTCTCCTTGAAGGCTACGAAAAGTGCGAGTCTTTGGAGATATCGGTTTCATTGGCCCAGAACGAAATGCGATTAACTTTTCCTTCATCGTTTAATTATATTCAAAAAAAAAAAAAAAAAAAAGGAAGGAACAGGATTTCACATCCTGGAAGAAACGTTGACAATCACAAATTATTAAATTAATTCGTGATATTGCAAAGCCAATTTTATAATACGCGAAACGAATGATTTAATCCACGACAAATCGGGTTTTTTTTTCATAGTTGTTTGAAAGATAAGATAAGATCTTATCTTCTTTAACAAAGTGTTCTATCTCGTTTTGTAAGATAAAAATCTTTAGCAAATTTTTGCACATTGACGTATGTTTTCAACAATGACATTTTATTATTTTATTTATTAAAATAATATACACACAAATAATTTTGTATGCGTTTCGATTCTCGGTTCAGCGATTGCTAAGTGACATTTAGAAATTATTTTTAATGTCTTACAAACCTTTTTTTTTACGAGTTATAAATTTTTTATTAGATTCATGAAGTAGTTAAATCTAGAAAACAAAAATACTAGTTTAGGATTAGTACGTTTTACATATTTTGAAAGGTAAACGAATTGGTCGGCACTTGGAAAGGTGTTCTGATCATTCAACATACGACATTCTTGTAATATGAAACGATAACGTAATGATTGCTAAGCTGCCAACATAAATTTTCAACTTTGCCCTTTTTTTCTAACGAATTTATTAATATCAAACAATATTAAAACTTATCACTTATCACAAGTTTTCGATAACGTAACGTAATGAGTTTTTGGTTAAAACCCTAAAATGAATGACTTTTCTTTTCTGTTAATTTCGCGAAAATGAGAGAGAAATAAAATTTCGTTGAAAAAAGAAAGAAAGAAAGAAAAAAAAAGAAAAAATTTGAAAGTCGTAATCGTGCGAAATGAAAGCTACTGAATAATAATGAATACATATTTATCCTCTTTTACCTGCCGCGGAATGCAATTCGCTCTAGTACACCTCCGTGCAAGGTAGTTTCTCCTTCCCACTTTTACCAAACCTCTCGTCGACGAAAAAAAAAAAAGAGAAGAGAGAAGAGAAGAGAAGAGAAGAGAAACCATATAAGAAAAATAAAATACCTATTATTGATTTATTCCAACTATCATAGATCATTCGTTTGTTCTTCATAGATGAGTAATCCGATTGAGACTCGCAATCAATAATCGAGAGGCTATCGTCCTTTTACTGTCATTGAACGACTTAACAGAGTTACGTATTTTATAAGGAAATATGACTAACGCGTCGAACGACCTTTTTTTTTCACAAACTCAATAAACCACGTACACGTGTGTGTGCGTGTGTGAGTGAATTTCAAAAGAGACACGTACGAACGATTCATCTCAGTGATGAAAACCTTGAATTCGCTCGTTGGTTAGCATTTTAATCAGCTTAGAACAAAGATAACTAAAAGTGTTTAAGTATTTTATAAATCATTTCAAAGCCCTTCAGTATCATTCATAAAATATAATTAATTATATTTATTATCTAAAAAAAAGAAGAAAAAAAATTATATGTCTATTAGAAGCAAACGATACGTCAAACGTTCTCAAATAGAAAGACAATAAATATGAATCATGCGTTGGAAGGAAGACCTCGAATAATCTTCGAGGTCTAACATGATTCAACGTAGGAAACGATTAATTTGTTAAACTTGCAAATAACAGGAATATTTATACATTCGAGAAAGATTCCTTCCCGTTTCTGTATAACCAACGAAATTAAAATGCGAATAGATTAGAAATTTCAATACTAAACAGTTCCAGGTTACGCTTATTCCTATCAAGATTTTACACTTACTAGTACCTCTAATGTAGTAGGTGTGTTCCTATCGGCTTAAGGAATCTTTTGAAAACGTTGAAAGTAACTTAATTAATCCGATTAACTCTACGTAACTCATTCGAGGAAGAACTGGCTTCGATGCTATAAACTTCGGGTCCTATATCCTAATTATCTGTTTTATCAAATAAATCAAAACAACGGGTTTCTCCTATCTTTTTTCTTATCTTTTCTCTTATCTTTTTTCGTAGAATAAGTTAGTTAAATAAAAAAAAAGAAAGTAGTTTGCTATTGCATGAAGTATATTGTATTGTCTTTATTAAAGGTTCATGGGAGTTTGTGTCCACGAGGGTCAACTTCATGCATTGACGGAATACATAAACGGTGGTAGTCTTGAACAACTGATAATGTCACGGCATACACCGTTGCCCCACCTGATTCGTATGAATCTTGCAAGAGACGTGGCACGTGGTATGGCCTATTTGCACAGTCGTGGCCTCTTTCATCGGGATTTAACTTCAAAGAACGTTCTCATTAAGAAGGATGAGAATACGACTGAGATGACAGCGGTGGTCGGTGATTTTGGATTAGCAGCTAAGATACCAGATCCTAGTTCGGGTTATAGATTGAGCACGGTCGGCAGTCCTTATTGGATGTCACCGGAATGTTTGAAGGGTCAATGGTACGATCACAGATCGGACGTTTTCTCATTTGGTATAGTAGTTTGCGAACTGATCGGTCGCGTTCCTGCTGATCCAGACGTTCTACCACGCTCAGATAACTTTGGCCTCGATTATCTGGCCGTGGCGGAGATCTGCGCGGCTGCCGACCCACCACCTGCCTTCCTTCAGCTAGCCTTCGATTGCTGTACCGTGAGTATCTCTAACTCACAGAGAGAGAGAGAGAGATTGTATGTTTTAAGTATATAGTATGCGCGTTTGGCACTGTCACGCTTCTTGGCATCTGGATATATTCTTCTACGTAATATACGCTTGCTGTAGATAATAACTCGTGAATAAACTTATCTACATAGGTATTTTTAAGTTTCCCTGATGTAACTACCAGATTATGTCTTTTCTTTTTATATAAATACTTTACGATTTTTGTTTTTTTCTCCTTTTTTTTTTTTTTTTTTTTTTCTTTTAGTACGAACCAAAATCGAGACCAACCTTTCCGGAAATCACGTCCAGTCTCGATAGCATGATCGGCAATTACGAAGAGGAATCTAAAAATAATATTGGTAATAGACAATCGGCCGATCCAACTCTAATGTCCAGCATGGACGAAATCGTACGAGAAGGTCGTACGATGAGACGAAGGACAGCTAGACTTAGAAGTCAATCAGCCGATGCGAGAGGTTGTGATAATGCTACGCCATCGGATAAAGCCAGATGTCATTCGGCGAGAAGAGTAGCTGAATTAGCTAGCAGAAGAGACCCACATTATAGACCGATGACAGCCAATCCATTTCACGCGTTGGGTGGCGTTAAGAAAATTTTGGGAGATTTATTTTCAAGTTGTTTGGAGTTGCCATCGCTCGAGGATGTTAGACCAAGCGTTACCGATACCGTTGGCAAATTTAAGCCAGCACAAAATGATAGTATCGCCAAAATTCTCGATAGAAAGAAACCTAATTCGGAACCTAGCAGTCCAACGGCAAGAAAGAAATGGGAAAGGAAGGTGGGAAAACAACGGGAAAGCTTAATCATAAAATATGTTATGAAAATTGAATGATATTAAGATGTTCTTTTCGCAGGTGGCTACTAAAGTCGGCGCGGCTAGTCTTTTCGCTCATCCCCTTTTCCGAGATGGTTGGGAACCAAGAAGAAGAGGTAGCTGCGAGTCGGGTTTCTGGAGTTGCGTTGGAGAAGATCTCAGTCCTGAACCACCTAATCGTCGACACACATCAACCCTTAGCAGTTCAGCAGCTAGTAGTTTATTCTTATTGGACGATCATAGAACCAGTTCTATTTACACGGATTCTTCCGAGGACATAGCAAGTCTCGGTGGTGGAGATTCTTCTTGTTGGGAGGATAGACTTAGTGGGATAGGATCTTCTAGTAAAACGATTTCAAAGATAGTCGAATATTTTGAAAGGAAACAGGCAACGGCAGGTAGTTTGAGACTTTGCGATCACGACTCGGTAGTTCCTAGTAGGATGAGTTTGTTGAAAGCAAGTTTGGAGGGTCCAGTTCCATTGTGTAGTATTTCGGCAGCTCAGAGGCTGGTTGTTTGCGAGGGTGCTGTTCGCAGCAAGTTGCCACTTTTCGATAAAAAATGATCCAGTCTGTTAACACGCGAGACATTCGTTACTTAGACTTTTCTTATTTGACCTTCCCACGTGTCAAAGGAAGGCATTTTTCTTCTAACCCGAGAAGCAAGCACGCTCTGTTGCGCATAATAGATGTCGTTGAGAATGTTCAAAAAGATAAATAATATCCAAATAGATATATATATATGTATGTAATTGTATAACTGAATGAAATCTAGCAACCCGACTGTGATGTTTTTGATAATCTACATAGAAAAAAAAAATAAAAATAATAAAAATACCGCGAACGTGACCACTGAAGTTTAATTACAAAGAATATTAGAGTACAGATTATTAGCGCAGGCGATCTATTATGCGCAACACGATGCTTGCTTGCATTATTATATGGTATGTCTGTTTTCACTTTCAAATTTATTATAATAAATCACAAGTTAAAATTGCAAATAGTGGCCTAATTTGTTAATATGCTAGAACAACCAAAATTTCGTCCATTGATGCAATAATATTTTCGTAATATTGTCCAATAATTGTTTGTTCATAGTAAACTTTAGACGCACACAATGATCACACTGATCAAACTGGATCAACTATGAATAGAATAGAATGATTAAACAGACGTACCATATATGCACACACACATATATATATTTTTTTTTTTTCGTGCACCGATCATGGGGGCAAAAGTAAACAAAAGGATAAAAACAATATAAAAATGTTTAGTTGAAATAACGAAGATCAGTGCGAAAGGGAGGGAGCATTGTTCAAGCCCTTTACTTTTTTGCAGTGCCTCGCAGTTCCTAGTATATATATATATATATATTATCCATTTCCGTCCTTCCGCACGTGTGTAGAGATCCAGAAAATTTGAATCTTTTTAGGGGAGGGGAAAAAAAGGGCCGATGACTAAAACATGATAGTAAAAAAAAAAAAATAAAAAAACCCAGATCGGTGATAATATTGAGCTTCCTAGTTCGCGTATAATTTCATGTGAAGATAAAATTGTGAACAAACAAAAATGGATAAAGAACAAACAAACAAATTTTACAATGTACATATACATTACACATATATATATATATATACTTGCATAAATTGAAATTACATTTATAGGTAGGACGATCGCGTGTATTTCTTCGAATAAGAATTTCGTTAGGGCCTAAGTTCTTATTAAGTACTTCCACTGAATGAGTCTTAAGTTACAAATGTTTTGTCCTAGATTTGATGAAAAAAATCAACGACCGGTGTTAGACTCATCCGACGTTTTTTTTTTTTTTCGTGCCCGATCGTTAATAAGAAAGTAGTAAGATAATATTCGTAGATTAATATACTCAGGACGAGATAATTGGAAGATATATATGTATATATATATATATACTATATATATATATATATATGTATTATATTTTGTTGGCGGGAAGATCCGTGTCCTGAATATTTTTGTTGAGAAATGAAAAGTGTTATGAATGAATGTAAGAATGAATGAATGAATGAATGAATGAATTATGGAAGAAAGAGAGGAACAAGTACACAACAACAACAAACAACAACAAGAAAAACATATGAAACTGATCTAGTCAGTGTAATTAAATATGGCGGCCTTATCTTTTTGTACGTCGTAAATGGTTAAATCGAAGAATAAATAAACAAAAAAAATAATAACTTAGGAAGTTAGGAAGATTCGATAGACGTGGGTTGGAGTTTATAGGATGTAAGTGGGTGGTCTTATCATTTTTGTTTTTTTCTTCTTATTTTTTTTTTGTCTTTTTTCAATATTATTTATAGGAGAATACAAAGAATGAGAGAGAGAGAGAGAGAGAGAGAGAGAGAGAATGAAAGAACAAATGAGAATGCACACGTGGAGGTTGGTCATTAGTTCGCGTCCAATTAAATGCGTCCGTGTTAATTAAAATAGTACAGCTGTGAACAAAAAAATAATTTGCTTTAAAAAAAAAAATTAATAAAACGTTCAATCGTTTCGTCGCGCTACTTCTTTATAGAACGAGTCGAACCAAATTTATTCTTTTTTTTGTTTTCTCTTTTAATTATTATTATTATTTTTTTTTTGTTTAACCTTTTCGCTACGGGCGTATTTTCCGCGGTGCTACTTTTACTGTACGGGCTGCTAATACATACAGCAACATCGAAATTGCACTTTATTTTTAAGTAATTTTGTTGTTGATATTAACGATTTTTAATCAAAAGAAAAAGAAACACTTAAATTTCATGTCCAGTGTGTGGGATATTTGACTTAGTGCTATAACTACATATGTTCGTCGTATGAAAATACGCGGTTTTTTTATGGAGGGCCACTATAGTAGTCCGTAGTAGCGAAAGGGTTAAATTGAATCTATAGATTATTTTATTATTATTATTATTATTATTATTAATATTATAATTATAATTATTATTACATTACACGTACACGTACACGTACACATATATAAACGTTCGCGTATATATACAACGTTTTTACTTATTCAAGTTCGTTCACGGGTTTTACCTGATAAGACTGCGCGTTTGTTAATTTGTAAAAGGATATGAATGAATGTATCCGAGAATGTTGAATGATAGGAAACGAATTTTCAAACAAACAAAAATATCTCTCGGTATTCGCAGTCTCTTTCTCGGGCCAGTATGTGAACTGCAACGATCTTTGCAGAGTTTTTTTTTTTTTTTGTTTTTATTATTTTCTTACCTTTCCTTCTTATTATTTTATTTTATTTTTTATTTCTTTCGTCGTCGTTGATGTTTTCTTTTTTTTCTTTTACACGACGCGTCAATCGGTACCTGAAGAATCGAGACGAATGTGTAGGGACTGCGAACGTGTGTATGCTTGGTTTATTATTATTATTATTAATTAATTAATTATTATTATTATTATGCGAACATATCGGGAGTTTAACATATCCTGAAATTATCGTTCATCGTATAGAAAAAAATATGGGCGAATTCGATTGTAAAAAATAGAAAATAGATTACCGAGTATTTGTAAGTACATATGCGTGTGAGTATGAGAGAGACAGTATATTGGTGGTCCGAGAGAGACGCATTTCTCAAGTAAAAAAAAAAAAACACAAAAAAAGAAAAATAAAAGAAAAGAAAAAGGGTTATTTATTTTAAGTATAAAAAAATATAGAGTAAATTAATAAAAAGATATAAAAATCGTTTTAAATGAAAATAAATGGAGTGGCATGCGTGTTTGCACGTGTACGAATGAATTCGTGATGTGTGATGATGAATTGGAAAAAATGGAATAATAATACGAAGATGATGATGATGATGATGATGATGATGATGATAATAATAGTTATAAACAATTAATCGATAATTAAGTATAATGGACGAACGTGAATGTGAACAGAAATTTCGTCGGAGTTGTTCTATATATATATATTATATATAGATAAAACTATATTATATTGTAAAGATTCCTATATACAAGTGTAATAAAATTAAGGGAGACTCCAAAATTTTTACCAAAAGAAAAAGAAGAAAATAGAAGGCTAATGTGGATTAAAACAAAAAGTAAGATAAACTAATAACTTTGAAAAAAAAGAGCCTTTTTTTTTTTCTAAAAAGCTATCGACAGTTGTCGACCTGGTCGTTTACAATTCTTTCGTCATAATTAATTGATCAAACATTTAACAAAAAAAGAACTTAAAAATTAATAACAATATCCTTGCGAATGCCTCATAAATTCCTATGTTTTTTGTTTGTTTTCAAACGACTAGCGTTCGAAGTTCACGATCTACGATATTCATTGTTTTATTGATCATTTTGTAAAAAATTGAATGAATAATTTTGCAACAAACATTTACAAATATTTCATTTGTATCGTTACATTCGAACGCTAGTTTTTCCTAGTTATAAAAAGGACCAATAATAATTTACGTAACGAATGAAATACTTTGCCAAAAAAAAAAATAAATTAAGTTTGTTCCTTTTTTCGGCACATTGCGATCATTTTAATAGAAGCAACACAAATTGTAGTGTTTAACTATGGCCAATGATCCATCAACGATCCCTTTCGATAGACGTAATGGATCTACCGAGGTCTTCCTCAGGAATCAATGGTATGTACCTCGTCCTTGGATCCTTTCTTCTTTCGTAAGCGTAAGGAAACATCATCGTCCTCTTCGGAAAAGATTTGGGTTCCTTGTTCTTGCTCGTGTTCAAAGATCTTGGAATTTTTTGTATGTGCGAAGGGTAAGTCGTTGAGCTAATCGTCGAACGAGACTCGCCAAGGTCGTTTGAACTGGTCGATGGAAAAAAATCATTGGAATTATCCAAATCAATCAGTGGTATGAATTTACGTTCCTCGTTCGTTTCATCGGACGTTGATCTTTCGGTGATTATCAAACGATCTTCAGAATCCATCGATGAACTCGTTGATCTCAAAAGATCCTCGTTGTTGGGTTCATCTGATGAAATGATAGTCGTACTTTCTATTATGGGTACCCAATCGTTGGATTTTTTCGTCGTAGTTATCGTTTCTTCATCGTTCAGCTCAAAAGATCGAGAGAGGTTAGTGTTCCTTTGAGAAATCGTAGGATCCGGTTCTTTGATCGGCACCCACTCGTCACTTTCATTTCTTTCTATGGTTACATTATCCTCCTTCTTTACAATAACAACATCCATTGAAGTATTTTGGTCAATGGCCTCATCATCTTTTACTTTCTCGTCCTTTTCGACACTTTCTTTTTGCAAATCCAATTGTTTAGCATTTTGGTCCCTCGATCTAACCGTACTTTCAAATGATTCCTTCGTCGTATCCATTCTATCTCCCAATGGTGGAAAATATTTCGGTTCTTCCTGACGAAAACTGCTGACAAAACTAGGCGTGTATTGCGAAATCAACGGCAACAAAGTTTGCCTGGCATATTTCTCAGCTTGGGCAAGTATCCCAGCTAATCTTTCAGGTAAAAATTGTACGGTAAATCCTCTCGTAGATGTCGACGAGGTTTCTTGTATTTCATCATCTTGCCTTTCCTCATCATAACTTGTATTTCTTCTACCTAAATTTTGTCTCGTCGAACGTGGTCTTAAAATTGGTTCGGTTATCTCAGATAACTTCAGTGACCTACCAGATTCTTTTTTATTCGAACGTAACACGGGTTCACGAATTTCTGGCAAATATTGTTTGGTCGTTGTGTCATCCTCCGGAGTGGTTTCAGTAAACGTTGAAACTTGTTGAATAAAATTAGAACCAGAAAAACTTCTTCCATTTTCAATTTCCCCATTGTCCAATGAATTCGATTCACCACCGTTTGAAATTTCCACGATTTTCCATGAACTACCAGAACTATCATCAGAATTCTCATAATCGTTGGATGATCCATCAACCAATCGAATATTTTGATCCCTCGTAAATGGCCCGACACCTTTCGAACCGCCGGTTCTCTTTTTCGACGTGAATTCACTCGAATAAATATTTCTAAAATCATAATTTTGATCTTTCGTGAATGGTCCAAAACCACCTTGTCTCTCTTGAACCATACGTTCCAATGGAACTATTATAGGATTCGTAACGTTTTCTCCTTCAACGGGTATTTCACAATCACCCGGATAAAGTGGTAGACGGTTAGTTCGTCCAGATTCCAAGATCAAACCATTTTTACATATCGATAAAGTTTTACCAAAACTATCAACCAATGCAACCTTATCTATACTCCAAGTTACCAATCCAGACGATAACCAACCACTGTATGCCGTATATTTGATCTAAAAAATGAATGTTAAAATATTTAGAAAATATTAATAACGTAATTGGTTGATGAAATTGCAATAATACCTCGATAGATTGAATGTTGTTAACTGCTGGATGAGGTACAACTATCTTTTGAAGCGTAACACCTACTAAAAGTTCTTCGTCCTTTCGCGTCATGGCAAAACTTTCGTTGAATGATCCCTCACCTATCAGGGTTATCTAAAAAATCATTTCTTATATTATTCCCAGGAAGTATCGTAATAATTATCAGTTAGCCAGGTTGCGCATTGGTTGTTAAAGGTTCTAAAGCAATGATTATGGAAACAATTAACCTGCAATTTGCCATAACTTCTGGTTGGTCTTTCGCCACGACTATTATACACCTTTACTTTGTATTGATGAGCACAGAACGGTTCTTCATCTCTGGTTATTAGATAAAGCTGACCTCTAGCTGGTAATTTGTCGCTGTAATAACCCATGTCACCGCAAGGCCTATTCTCGCCATTAACGTTACAGGGAAAGCATTCACCTTTTAGAAGACCATCGTAACCACGAGGACATGGGAATGCTGGGAAACGACATTTTGGGCTGACGGAATCGGTGAATAATTTGTAAGCTCGTCGATGATTGCACAAAGATCTACCTTCAACCGGGGCAGCTACAAACCAAAAAAAAGGAAATTGTAATCTGATTTAGAAAGTATATATCGATGTACAGCCAATCAAAACACTCGTTCTAATAATGATCGGAGAAGGAATACGATCACCATGATTTTTCAAATAAGTTAGTTTATGGTGTGTGTGTGTGTGTGTGTGTGTATGTCGTATAGTTTACCTCGACCCGTATAACTATATGGCCTACTTTCTTCCAAGAAGAAGAAGAATAATTTTTCAAGCAGTTTTTCTCCTTCGTGTAGGAGGAGCGTAATGAGATACTACTCTCGATTCGAAATAAAACAGAAACGAAAATAAAATACGATGGAATAGATAGTTGTGTGCTTTCTAATCGGTGATCTACAATGCACGCACCCGTCGTGTGTATTCGCGATGCTCGATTGGTTTAGAAAATACGACCATAAACTTGTTTTTATTAATGTACATATATATATATATATATACGTATATGTTAAATCCAAACTAACTTACACCAAATGATGTCAGATACAGCACCAACGAAAAGATTCGAGCAACCAGTTTGCATTCGTCCACCATTCGGATAAAAATCAACGTCACCCATTGGTTGCCAAGAACCAAGTCCTCCGAGTATCAACTGTTCACCGTTGCTGTGTATCACATCGACAAAGTTAGCATCTGTCTCGTCCAATCGTGCTCGGGGATCTTGGGATTCGAACAGTGGCCCAGCTGGATCCAATCCTAAAAAAAAAAGATACGTAAATTACTAATTTATTTATTTATTTATTGTAATATAAATTTCCTAATCAACCTTGTTACAATTCTTTCAACAGGTAATTAACCGATTGATTGATAATTACGTTCACTCGTAGTTGCGCAAAAGTTTACCTTTCTAATGGAATTATTTGAATATCAAACAGAACATTCTTTTTATTATGTAAAAAAAGAACAATTTAATCGTAACTATAATTAATCATAAATGTTGAAAATTGCAACTTTGATTCAAGGAGTAAAGGTAAATGCATTTCACCGTTCGTGAACTACACGTTTGTCAGATTTCGTAAGAGATTTATAAATGATTCGTGAAACAAATGAATTCAATTCAAGAAAACCAGTTTAAAGTCCATAAAAATTGATTGCTTTAAAAAGATAGTATTTACCTACCGGTGATTCTAGACACGTTTCCTAGTTCAGCTCCAGCAAAACCAGCTACGTGTGCACCAAGACTAAACCCGATCAAATGTACCCTCTCTTGGGGTACTTCCAAGTTTCGAATCAATTTGGCCAATTGACGACCGACCAGTCGAGTATTGGCAGCTGCTCTAACGTAATTTGGCACTGCACTACCTGGACCCCAATCAACGCACACTGGACACCAAGTTAACAAAAATTAGACAAATATTTTAAAATGTATATAAAATGGTGTTATTATTTCCACGAGATTCCAGGTAAATTGGAGAACAAATAATCCTATTGATAGGGGGTGATGAAGGCTCATAGGATGAAAGGTTGTTGCAATGATTGGAATCATTGGTTAACTAGTTCGTAAAGATTACTTGTAGATTGGTTCAGTTGATTTTTCTATTGCGAATGATTGGTGATGAACGTACCAATGTTACACTCTTGAACGGTCATTAGTGCCAATCTCATCTCGTAAACCCACACGTGATCGCAACTAGATCCAAAGCCGTGTACTATTACTTTGGTCGGCAAATCGGGATCTATGGCACGGTGAGCGTTATCGTTTATATCTTCAGCTGGCACTTCCATTGGTATTGATCTTGCCTTTCTGCTACCGTAAACCAGAAATCTGGACATACAATTCAAAAGCAACGTCATTCGTGTTATTATAAGACACCTGATATACTTGATCTTGAACTTTGAATAAGTAGGAATATATTTGTCACCTGGTACCAACATCCTTTGGTGGGGAAGGTAACATCTCGAGATAACTGAAGGGTCCTGTATCTTCGAAACATCCAACATCCTCGTAACAAACTTTAGACACTTCCCTTTTGTTTCTATGACGTTCACGTTTGTGTAAGGACCATTCTCTCATAGATTCAACGACCGCACGAAAAATTTCCGCGTCGTTTTTTTCGTCCAATGACTCGTCGAGGCTCGTCGGCCATGCCTGGGCCAACGTGCGATCTCCTAATCCAAATATTATTTCGTCATCATAATGAAATGATTGTTCGTTGTAATAATGTTAATATTTGATTATTCTTAGATAATAAAATGAGTAAAAATTGTGTAGGAGAATTGTAACGGTGTCCTCGGTTCGGTGCACTGGACAGCAATTATTTAAATTAGCATAACGCGCCTAAATACTCAGCCCGGAACAAGATAATACTGAAAAAGGAGATACAAGATTGTTTTTGTTCAACTATAAGAGATCAATCAACCTCTGATATTTCCATCTCGTTTTGCTCTGAAAATTTTATACGATTGTCTTTTTAACTTTGTGGAATCGTCGACGAATCGTAACGAGTATTTCAACGGATGATATTCTATAGTTCAATAAATAAAACATAATTATTTATATGACCCAGATTGATTTCATGTTCATTAATTAGGAACCAAAATGAAAAACATTCTCACGAATCTAATGAATTTTGTAATTGACGTGTGTGTTAAGTTCAGTAGCTTCGTGTAAATATTTGAAAGATCTAATGACGCGTGTCGACAGAATGTATGAACAACATTTCATCCGTCAATTTCATTTTCAACTATAATATTGCAAATGGCATATATTGTATTGCACGCTCGAGTGTGCAACTTGCATCGTTTCTTATTCGATGATAATCTCGACCTTAATTTCTCTCTTAGACACCTTGCGAAAACGCATTCTAAGAGAACGTTGCTACTTCTCCTTCGTTAACCATAATCGATCGATCGATCGATCATCATCTTTCTCGTCTATGTGCAGACATAAATGGTCTGAGAAATTACGTAATACTTATTAGGATTCGACATAATTAAGATACGCGAATTATATTATTAAATAAATCAAATAAATTTGTAAATTCAATAGAAAATCTTCAAGAGAGTCGTAAAGATCGAAGCATATGGAGACAGGTGTAATAAAACATTAATTAAATTTAATTGCATTTGTAATTGTTATTGGCAAGTTCTAAGAAAGAAAGAAAGAAAAAAATAAGAAAAAGGAGGTCTTTAGTTTGTCCCATTGAATCGAATGGTCTCTTTCCCTCGTAATGTTTAAAACGGTAATGGTCATGGCCATTCTATCCAAGTGACAAGAGACACGAATTGCTGTCAAGTGAGTTTCGAAGAGGGACGACTTAACGGTACGACAAAAGACCGTGTCTGGGACTAACACTACTATACTTCTCTTTTATGGCAACGGGATCACACGAGAGACACATTTTACGCTCCTTGCCAATTTCATCAACGATTTATTTCCTATTTTTCCTATTAATCAAAACGAATCGCAACAGACAATTTTCTCATTTTCTTTTTATCGAGATCCGATAAATTAATTCAATGTAATTGGAAATTTACACCAATCATTCGATAGTACTTGTTATTTCAACACATTATTCAGAATTCATTTAGTATTGAAATGTAATACTTGAAATATCTCTCCGTCAGTTAAATTTTAGTTGAAATCTTGACGATTAGAGTTTTCCGACAACTCTTAATTGATGATGAATCACGTAACTAGGTAAACGACTATGGTAGGTACCTACTTTTCTATGGAGAGGTCATCAACGAGTGGTTACGGTTGATCCACTTTACCGTTTTATTCCTCTTCTTGTTAGATTCTAGTGTCAAGAGATGATTTAAGATATCTAAGATATCGAGAACAATCAAGAACAAGAATCCCAAAGTATTTGTCGAAAATTCATCAAGCGTTGTGTTTTAATCATCGACAATCTTTCTCACGTATCTCACACGTTCAAAAAAGAAATACAGGTCGGTAAAACGAATGATGGAAAGAAATATCATTGTGTCTGACTTTTTTTGGTTTATACGTTCCTCCACCATTATTCTTATGTTACTAACAATGAACATAATTTAATGTCTTCGTATACACGTATGAAAACCCATACAAGATTAAAAGATGACATGGTTTCCATGAATCCGAGGTTACTGAACCTACATACTCTAGTGTAACATACAACATAACATACAACTCGTTGAAACCTAAATTGCATATACGTATGACTCACGTTTATCATATTCTTCATTTATCAATCGATAAAATCGTAATCGCGAAACTATTTCAACATATTCGATCGTAGCCTTGAAAAGCGAAAATCGATATTGTTTGTCATTCAACTTGTGTCTTCTTCTTCTTCTTCTTCGTATTCGATCAACTTGAAACACACTTTGATCAAACAGTTAACTACGAAACTAGAATAATAAAATTTCGTAACGAACGAATAAACATACTGAATGGGATGTATATATTCTTTTGATTAATGTAAATTTACCGTTAATCAGATCCTATTGTCTTTTCATTATACTCAACGAGATACTCAAACGTTCAAATTGTCCTGTTGTTAATATCTAAATGTGTCGTGAGACATCAGAGATATATCTACGTTAATTAACAGGTTAATTACATTTTGAAAATGTGCCCATAATTATGAAAGTGGTCTATAAGTGGTCTAAGTGGTTTATAAGTCAAAATAAGTTGTGAGTTATTTCACACCATATTATTTTTAATTCATTTCATTCAATGTAATTTGAAAAAGATATTGTGTCAAAGATGAATTGTTAGATAATATTTGTTATTTCAATATAAAAACAATTAATATATAGAATATATATTAAATTATTAATTGAAATGAAATATTAAATTATATACACTTTCATAATTGAGCCGTTGAGAAATGAGATGAAATAATTTTGTTAATTTTGAATAAATCTTGCCATTTAATGGTGTTAATCTTTATTATTAAGGAAAGTTATTATAAATATAAAAAGTAATTAATTCAATGTCTTTGAAAGAAACGAGTGTGATTTACATGAAATAACTTTGTTTGAAGCATTTTTGTCATAGGTTTATTTTATAAGTGAGGGTTGCAGCAATGTTGCTCTGATTTACATATGAAAGGACTCGCATTGAAAGTGGACGCGACTAGGTTTGCGATGAAAGTCAGACAATTCTTAAAGACTATACTAAACAACATACATTATCGGCCTTTCTCGTTTCACTAAGAATACGAGCATAATAAATCTCTACTTTTCAAGGTCTCTATAGTCTCTTCTTTTCTACCTTAGGATCGGTTAGGTATCGTGTCTTTGTCCGGAAACATGAATCCTTCTTCCTGATTTCACTTTAAGTAAAAAACAAACTCACGCTACTGGGTTTCATTATTCTCATAAAGTTTAACGATACACCTTTTACTAATTTGTTATGTATAAATATTAAATCAGCTGATATCTCAATCATCGTAAGTTGAGTTCATTTTTGTTGCATTTATTTTATATTTTTTTGTTTGTTATGAATAATCTATCAAATAGAAATTTAATTGATGATCAAACACTGAAAGGAAGATAAGAGTTGAGTTCTGATACTTTAGCAAAAATTAATTATTGTTAAATTGATTCTAAACATTTATTTTAAAAGACTCAAATGTTTTTTTTTTTTTTTATTAATACATAAATAAATTTCATTTTTTCAATTGTTAAAAATATCTAACAAATTTCATATTCGCGAGAAAGTTTCAGACACACATTGGTGTGTCTACGGTGTGTCCTATAAAAAGAATCTCAAATTTTCATCGAATTTGTTATTTTATTCTTATGTAAATGGATTTTATTTTGAAAAAAGAAAAAAAGAAAAGCAGAGACGTCTCGTAGCCGTGGCATTGAAATCTCAAAGACTGGTCTTTTAAAAATATATTCAAAAACATTCTCTCCCAGACTGATAAATTAAAGTCTGAAACGAAGAAGTATTACGAAATATAAGAGTATAACGGAGAAGTATGGTGGTAGTCAAAGAACCGTTTTCTTTCTCCGTTAGTAATACCATGGTCGAAAGTGATTATCTTTTACTTTTTTTTCTTTCTTTCTTTCTTTCTTTGTCTTTTGTAATAATCATTTGCTTTTATTTTAATAAACGTCTATATTACTTTCCAAATGAATAGAAATAATAATAAAAATAACGTAACAATCCAATCACCCGGTATATTATAGACAAAAACCTGATCGAAAGAAGTATCTTGCATAAAGCCAATAGTCTCCTTTCTCGATACTTTTCTCTAACATTTCTCTTCATGTTTGTCTTTTTCTTTTTTTTTTTTTTTTTTTTAGAAATAATTTATCTTTGACAATTGATGTAAATTCCTAAAACGTTTTCTGAAACAAATTTGATCATTGATTGAAAAAGTTAAACGGTGAATTTTGAGACACACGATCTTTAAAGTAGATATTTTATTTTTCTTTCATCCACACATGCACATACAACATACACATAGGAATATAGCACTATAATGTTCCGGAGAGAAATTAATTGGCCGGAGAAAGGCGAGTGGACCGTGTGCTCGTGAAGAAAAAAGGGTCAAATCCGTTGGCAAGTCGGTGAACGGACCTCTCTTGAGTATATGAACTTCTACATACATACATATACATACATGTAATGCACACGTGCAAAAAGAAAAGTATAGTTTTCAGACAGAAGTCTACAAGCTTCTTTTTTAATAAACGTCGTTACACTTGAGCCAATTACGTTGCGAGGACTCGATCAATTTTCTTTTTTTTTCTTTTTGTTTCTTTTTGTTTCTTTTTTTACTCGAGTTATAGAACAAATTTACTTTCTATGATTAATCATCGTTGTAATATCTGCGAATTGTCATTTTCACGGTCAATGCCACGCGAAAAAGATTCTCTTTCAAAGTAGCGAAATTCAAATTGGGATGATTTATGTTAATGAAATTGATCCGATAATCGACATCGTTTAAATGTAACTTGGTAGACGTTGAATTTTTTCGGAAGACATAAAGATTATTTTTAATAGGATTTAATGATAATATTTGTAATAAATGCGGGGACCTGACAAATGCCCCTTTCACTGTTCAGCAAAATACCATGAGGGTTTTAGCAGTTATTCGCACGTTCCTTGCAATAAAACGTTGGCCTAGACCGCGTTTAACATTTTTATCTCTCATCAGGACTTTCAATGTTTTACGACAGTAATTTGGATGACGTTTAATGGATTAATTCACGTATGAAATGTTCTTTGACAGAATAGATAAGATGACGTAAAGTTGCTTACCGAGAAAACTGATCCATCGAAGTATCCAAAGAATTAACAAAGTCTTGTAGATCATCGCACGAAATTAAATACATAAATCAAACATCAAAGTACCACCACCACCATTATTGTTGGTGATCGATAATCGAACAAATCGAGATGACGATGACAGATCGAAAGAACAAATTAAGTTGAAAAATTGATATTTAAAAAAGTGTTGAAGGGGAAAATAACAAATTGTAAAGACGAGATATTGTTCAAAGAGGAAGAGGAATCAAAAATAAGAAAAAATCGATCGACAAACTAAGAGACTACTACGATGCTTCTTCGGGGATACTACTCTGCTGCTTTCTCTTTCGAAAGAAGGAGAGTACGCGCACGTTGTTGTTGGTGGTGCGCGCGCGCGCACGAACCTAACTCAAAACATTTCCGTGCTGGATCATTCGGAATATCTCTTTTTTTTTTTATATACTTGTTAGATATATTTTTTTTATCGTCCTAATATATTTCAATTACATTGAAATCGTTTTGATTTATATTTCACTGAATTTTCCGAGCGTTCTCCAAAATGGCTGTGCCGAGCTTACGAATAATAGAAAAGCAGCTTTGAAATCGCGGGATTTTCTTCATAAAAATGTTTGAGAAACGATGACTATGACGAGTGAAGCTATCAAAGACGACGACGACGACGACGTCGACGAGCAGCAACTTTCGAAGAAACTCAAAGAGAGAGTCCGAAGAGGATTGAAGGAACACACGAGTCGCGTTGTGCTACCTTGTGGCCTACTATAACAGAACTGACTCCCACCGAGAAGTAACACCGTCTCTTTACCTGCCATAAGCGCATGCCCTCGGCTACTTCATTTCCTCTCTCTCTCTCTCTCTTTACACCTGGTCTAGCGATAATATAATAACACCTAAACATTTTATTACTGATCATCTTTTTCTTTTTAATTTATTTCCCCTTCATCGTGTTTCATTCGATCATCAGGAAATCGTTCAAATGCTAATTGAATTTATAATGCAATCGTTTCTCTTCCTTTTTCTATTTACTATGTAAACATATAAAGTTTCTTTTTTTAGAGTCACATAATTAATATGATAATTTAGGCTAAATGTAATCAATAAGCAATGATTTTAGAGAACTCTATAAACGATAGACGACGACAACGACGACGACGACGACGACAATTTCAATTCGTGTTGGAATATTAATTAATTTTGGATACCTTATTAGTACTTCCAATATATCTCATTACATTGCCTAACTTAGACCGCACAATTTTCTCGGGTTGTCGCAATAGAAAAGTTTCACCGTAATCGAAAGTGCTTATGCTCTTGCCCATTGTGCCCATTGTGATTTATAGCGTGTTACCAAATATTATATTACGAGGGACCAATAGATTTCTTCAATTATTATTTTAATCTGCTTTTTAACAACGTTTTCTAATCTCTCCTAATATTGCACAACACAAATGCTTTTTTTTCAAGTCAAACAAAACAAAATATTTGCAATCCACTCGATCCGTACCAAAAGTTAAACATTGCATGAACAAATGATAAGATTTCTTTGAGAATTAATTATCAGTTGAAATGTATTAAAGGACAAAGTTTGGATTTAAAAAAAAATACTCAAAGGTGCTGCTACTGCTGCTGCTGTTGATTGCTTCATACAATTTGTGAAATCGACCGAACAAAATCATACGTCATTACGTAATTTACATTTGGAGGACGTGGCCAGTGTTAATAGTCATTGACATTCCTATCAATTATTTAACGAATTTCAAATAAATATCAATCTCTGATGAGTGCATAATTTTACCACGGTAACAAGTTTTCCTTCCGTTTTCGAAAGTGCAAGTCCGGTTGTTGTATCGTTGATTAAAAACACCTGCATTAGACAACTTACTTTCGCTTGTCCACGTTACAAAGTGGCTTGGAAGGGAGGGAGGGTTCTTACTCTAAACTATTATCATGGTCGAAAGTTTATTATACTACGTTCTTCGGCACATAGGACAATTATTTGTGATTAACACAGCTAACACGTAGGAAGGGGGGAAAAAAAGAAGAGGAAGACAAGAAGTGTACGTTGTTGTTAAATGGAGAAAGTTTTCAATCTTTGTTTGGCTATCTTCTTAAAAAAAAAAAAAAAAAAAAAAAAAAGAAAGGGAAAAGAAAAATACCGTGAGGGTCATTTTAATTTACGAAATATCAATCAAAACAACTCTAATCCTTGACTCGTTCGACCGAACTAAGATAATTCATCGATTCCAACTTTTATTATTATTATTATTAACGACCAATATACAAATTTTTATTATGCAAGAGAAAAAAGAATATAATCGGAGGTCAAATAAGATAATAATGCATAATAGATTAAGAAACTTTTAATTATTATATAACTAATAGAATGTATTTTTTGTTAACATATTGTTGAGCTACTTTTTACGTAATATTAATTCGAATCGGTATTTTTTACTTTCCAATGAACGTTTCATGGACTTGAATTAGGTACATCTATATATGTATATATGTATATGTACGAGGTCATTCGGTAAATACTTCATTGCATTTATTTCTATGAACACGAAAACAAATGCACAGCATTGCAATTATATGACATTTGATGTAATAAAGGAAATGAGATAAACATCATTAAATAATTATATTCTTAACGTTTGTCGTACTTTACATAAATTCATTATTTTTCATCAAATAAATAAAATATACAATCATAGAAATAATTGTAAATTATCTCTTCTTCATATTAACATATTTAAATCCATCAAAATCGTCTTGTATCTCTTCCATTATTGTAACCTTAGTCTTTGGTTTACGATTTTCAATTTTAATTTTCTGTTCTTCCTCTGAAAGTTCAGCAATATTAAATGGAAGAACAATTATTTTTCTTGGTGTGTTATATTCAATGTTTAAACTACTGCCATCGGGAAGAACGAGAATAGTGGGATAAGTATTCACATAAACATTTTGGTGTTTTTTTGTTATAGCTGCTGTCCAACAATTCAAGTTTCTACCTAAACTCGGTCTTAACTTTGATGAAACACGTAGAAGTAAGGATGCATTCATTCTGCAACATAAGAAAATATTTGTAAATGTTCATTCAATAATATCATGGAAAAAACCTCATAAAAAGATAAGTATATGATTGCATTTCTAACATTTTTTTAAGGTTGAGGTTATGTTCTTTGATAACCAAAAATTCAAAACTAAATTCAGACGAGAATTATATTAAAATAGGACGAAAATTTGTTATCAAACTCGGTTCAATTTAAAAAAGAAAAAAATAGTAAATTAGTTTGTAAACACGTTTAAAAGTTTACCTGTTTTTTAATTCGACGAAAATCCAGTAATCGATAGCAGCGCAATTGTAAACATCACGTGATCTCTCAGTTTGACCAATCGGCGTTGATTAAGTCGTTCGAGATATCGATAGTTCAAAAAAATCATGTGCATCATTTCTACGCGCGATTTTTAAAAGAAAATGTTTGATTTGTTATTAGGTGTTGCACACATGCGCAATGTTCGGAATGTCAAATAAACAACATTAAATAAAAGAAAGTTGACACAGAGGACGACACATGCCAGTCTGAAGGGGAATTCCAAGGAAGACGGTACTCTTATCATATACACGGTGTTTTTAAACAATACACATTCCTTTAGATTAATTAACAATTATTTTAATATTCTAATACACTTTTCTTTTATTACAGGTAAATTTTACCCTCGAAATCATCACTGCGCAGGAATAATAAAATAATTTTATTAGAAATATTATTATCGTTTACACACATTCGCAACTTTCTAAAACATTGAAATAAACGAACTTTCACGTAGGTTAACGTACCAGTCTAACGGTGAATTTTAAGGAAGATGCTTCAACAATTGTTGTTTATTCAATTTTTATTTATTAATTAGACTATAATATAATTATTAACCCTTTCAACTCGAGGACAACTTTTACATTTTCTTATTTTATATATTTTTGGTACATTTATCAAAGAAAACATCTCGAGTTGTTGTATCCATCAAATCAAGTGATGATCGAAAACTTCTCCGATGCAAAGGGTTTAATGTATTTTTGCATTAGGTTAAATGTCCAGGTTTAATGTATTTTAATTTGAAATACAATTAGATGCTTGTTCAATGAATTCATATATTAGTGAATGAATTCAATGAACTATTATAATTCGTGTAACTCATTCATTCTTCTATAAAGAAAACGCATCTCGCAATCATTCATAAAACTCACACACCATACTAAAAAAAAAAAAGAAACACTAAACTATAACCTACCATAATCTTATTTTATTATAAGGTTTTATCTAACTCTTTTCATGTTGGACAATTACTTTTCAAATGCTACGTAAAGCTTTTTCTTTTCTTCGTAGTAATAATAATAATAATATTAATAATAGTATTGCACCTTTTTTTTAGGAATTGAATTTTATCACATGACATTTTTTGTTAACTTTATTTGTTTTTTTTTTTTTTTTTCATTTGTAACCGATCTTAAATTTTTATTGCGATTACTAGTCTTTGTTTTTTTTTTTCTTTTTTTTGATTTGCGCTTCTGCTCTTCTTAATACATAAATAAATATTTATTAAAAAATAAGAGAAATATATATATATATAGATAGATATATATATATAATAATATAAAAATGTAATATATGAGAATTAAGCACTGGTGCAGGTTGATGAAGAAGAATTGCCTTCTTGTATATCACAATGACAGTCACCAGGAATGTCCACGTAGTCTTTACGGTTCCTGTGGAAAGATTAATTTTATAGCAAATTGTAATCTCTTTTAGAAAAACCAAAAAAAAACCTTTATTACTTTTTCAACCATTTTATTTTCTAATGATATATCATATAAGTTCAATTTGTTTTTTTATTTCAAATGAATTATTCCAACAATATTCTATATTACTAAATATTAGATCGAGTCATAAATAAATTCCGTTTAATGGCATTTCTGCGACTGACAAGTGCAAGACACCTTTCATGGTGTTTTTCTTTTTGCACTCTTTGCAATTGTTCAACGTATCTCTTGGATTTTGTTCCAATATTACCTTTAAAAGGTTCGTCAAAGTCGGAAATACGTCCTTGCACTCGGTACAAAGCAATTTCTGATTGCCCTATCAGTTATCAATTCTGCACTGTATACGCTGCATATTTTTTCAGTTGCCACTTTAGTGCTATTGCCTTATTTCAATTCTTCAAGCATTACATGTCGAATATGTACTTTTTACAGTTCCATTTCAGTGGTTAAGAAAAACAGTTAAATCAAATATCAAAAATTTGTTTGTTCCGAAAAAATAGATTCTACGGAAGTTACTTATGACTCGACCTAATTATTTTCTAATTACTTACACAATAAAATGATCAATCTTTAAACAAACATGCTTAATAAATAAAATAAAAACATGCCGCATGCATTTATCACGGAAATAAAAAAACACACACACACACATAATATTAAACACACGCACATATACACACACATTTCCGTAGTGATGATTTTTTTTTTTTTAAACAATTGTTATGTAAAAACAATGAAATACATTTATAAAAAAAAATTCTGTTTTTAATTAAATAATAGTTTGAATGAATAGGGGGGAAGTATTGAGTAACATACGTATACAATATTTATTTATAATTATTTTGCTATAATTATATACAAAATAGAACTTTGTCAAATTATAACAAAAAACAAAAAATATAATATTAGATTAATTAATTAAAAAAACGCGCATAAAAATGTAACAATCGTCATGAAATAATTAAAAAAAAAAAAAAAACAAACCTTTACTAATCTAACTTAAGTAAAGTTAAATAATAGTCTTCTTCGTAATTCTTCAAGTATGATCAAGTATATAATAACAATAATAATGATAATAATAATAATAATGATAATCGCACATATGAACCAACAACAACCGACCCCCATATATAGGAGTCGTCGCACAAATCCTATTTTCTAGGGGACGATGGGTTAATTTCTATGGGACGATAATCACGCGACAAAATATACCATAAATATTTTTAAAAAATAATCATTTTCCCAAAAAGCAACAACTCTTATTAAATAATTTCGTTAACATTGACGGATATATAATACTGTGTTAATATCAATACGTATTTATAATAATAATAATAATAATAATATTAACATTAATATTAATTAATAATGAAAAATAGAAAACGTTTAAAACGTTTATAATAATACTAACGCAACAATAAATAAATAATAATTTATCTACCGTATTTCAAAAAACAAAAACAAAATGATCATCCGTATTTTCTTATTTTTGTTTCAAGCATTATTTTCCATTGGTTAGAAAATGGTTAATATATAAAATTACACATGAAATATTTCATTTGAAATAATAATGGGACGTGTTTGTTTGATGAGATTAAATAGTAATGCCGTTGATAGATGCTCGCTTATACTTTGCCATTCAGGTCGATTTCTTTTTCACTGATAAATCTGTAAAATCAAAATTCTTCCTTTCCCTATCTCTTGCGTATATACGGAAAATATTACGGGAAAAAAAATTGACAAAATTTGGCAATAAAAGAAAGCATGTCTTGTTTGTTTAAACAGCACTTACATAAGCACATATTTATCTAATTTATTTGGAATAATAATTGAAACGATGCAAAAGGAAAAATGCATTAACAAGGCTGAAGAATATCCAAATTGTTATTTGTTACGAACTCTTGAGAATACTTTGTCTTTTATTTTCACGCGTTAAAGAGGTTGTAAAAAAAAAAAACAAATAAATAATAATCGAACGAATTATTGGGTAATAATTTAGCTTCAAACTATTTATTTACATTCTACGAGAGTGAGTTATTTGGATAATAAAATCATGCATTTGCTAAGTAATAAAAAAAAAAAAGAAAAATGTTTAAATGGCCTTTCAAAGATATCATTATCTAAGCAGGGAATGCTGATAAATGTTTGTTTTTGTTTTTTTTTTTTTATACCAATACATGCAACATGCACTTGATTACTTTGTTAGTCGAGTTATGTTCGTATTAAAAAATATGAACGAATAATAAAATGTTAAAAAGAGAAAAATCAATCATTCCAATATTTCAGAAGTTAAATCATACCTGTACAAAACGTAATGTTGTATAATGAAAAATATATCAAATGCTACAGAGAAGAATCCAAGTCCAAATTTCGTTGGATCACCAAAGATGCTTTCCCAGTCGTCTACAAATAATATTATTATTATTATTATTATTATTCATTTAATTAGACAGTCAAATTTTATTACAAATCAAATGTAAATCTAGGATTAGGATTATAATATGTAATTGTTGTTGTTACCATAATTATAAGCATTTAATATCATCTGTAGCATTGACAATACACCACCGGTAAAATCTAAAAATATATTTCCAATGCTCCAACCAACGGTAGACTTTCTTCGATAATTGTAAAATGCTTGTGGCACGTATTTGATAAGTGTTATACATAATTTAACGTAACTGCAGTAATACAAAAAGTCCAGCCACATTATCACAGCTGTGACGGCAAGTAACATAGAAATAAATATAAATATAGCGAATAACGCGTGAACGATACGCACCGTAGTAGAAACTCTTTGAGAACCAGTCTGAAAATTCATTACAATCAATTATTATTATTATTATTTTCAAAGGAAACTATTTTCAAGGGATTTTATTAGATCATATAATTACCTCATAAATAAAACATTGGACGATAGTTATCACAGTTGCGAATACTGCATGTAGAGAAAAAAATATATCGTTTACTTGTACAGGATTCAATCCTTTTGGATATCTATTAAAATATTCTAACTAAACAAAAAAAGGAAGATTAATATTAATTAATTAAATTCATAGACGTGTAACTTGATTGTGACGTGTAAAATAATTCGTTAAAACATACCTCTATTTCTGGTATCCAGAAAAGACCACAATTAAATAACGCATACATAATAAATCCAACGAGATTTAAAGATAAATAATCAAAGTTAAGGCCTACAACACTTTGGCGTTTGTAATTGCTGTAGATTTGTGGATAAAAGCTTACGCTCCATGCTAGAAAATAAATCCATCCTACGACAACGCTACAATGATAAATGGTATCTGATTTTTCCACTGTCACTCTAACAAATGCATCTGTAAAGCTGCAAACAAAGAAAAAACAAAATGCAATAAAATCTGAAAATCAAATGAAATAATTTGTTTCAAAAAAAAAGGGATCAAATGTTATTTACTTCAAATTAAGGGTATTTAATTGATCCTCGGGTATAATGATTATTTTATAAGCAGTCATTGTGTCATGAAATGCTTGATAACGTTTTACTTGGAACAATTAATTAGAAAAATATTAATGAAAAAGACACTTGTATAAACTGAAACGTAAAACACTATAGGAACATTTTGAACACTGAGGAAAAATGAGTACACACACACAGCACCAAATCTGGACATAGACTGACTGAATCTCATGTTTCAGATTTGATGACAAAGTCAGGTCAAAAGGCTATCTGTACAATTACGGTTGAATACTGGTAATGGGAAGTATGTAACGATTGGAATCTTTTCAAAAAACTTCTGTTAGTCAGACCAAATAAACAATGCATGGATAGTTGGGCAGAATTGAAACAAATAACATTATCTAATGGTACGTATTCAAAAGTAATTATTTTCAAATATAACATGACATTTGTATGAATATTATCATTTGCAGGATGGTGTTACATAAACGATGCCAATGATGTAAGAGTTAAAAGAAAAAAAGAAAAAAAAACAAAGAAGGAAATAATATTTGTCATTAGGTTATCAGCAATCTTAATTCAAATTTGATAATTAATGTTTTTTTTTATACGTACACTGTAACATCCGAAGGTGTGACATTTAAACTGAGAGTTGAATGTCCAGCGGAAATACCTTTGACGAATATTTCATATTGCAATTTATCGGTTGTAGCCACAAATTCAGGTGTCTCGACGGATATTAAATCTTTGTGTTGTATATCTATGATTACTTTTACATTTTGCGATAATGGTTTTCTGTCAAATAAAAATGTCAATCAATTAGAGATGAGATGGTTTATTCAGATATCTGCAGTAAAGGATTAATCATCAAGTGTTAAAAACGTTATCTATCTCGTTTAAAAATAGAGGGAGAAAGATAATAGGAAAAGGGGTGGATAACAATGTGATTTTCTTATGCAATAAAATTACAACCGATAAGAAATGTAATAATAATAATAAAAAAAAACACACAGGTGTACATACGTTAAATATACGTTGAAAGATTTCCTTTGATTAAGTCCTACTTTAAGATCATGTGTAGAAACGTTGAAATCTGCCCATACGCTAACTAGAAAAACGTTTGAGTTTTTCAAAACACACATTCCTATGAATTTAAATGTCTCATTTAAATATAAAAAAAAAGAAGAAGAAAAAAACTCACCTAACGAGGTTAAAAAGAAGAAGTAAACCAGAGAAACCATCTTTTCAATTTCTGAAAAAAAAATAATAAAACAGTAACGGTCAATTTGAATCGATATATCCTTGGCACAGAAATAATTCTACTCGTTTATTGTGCATTTTGGAGTATTTCAACGATCTGATATAAAAATGTATGTCACAATGTAAGTTTTATAATCTCACGCACACACACATATACACACACACATGTGAGAAAAAAGATACTTGGCAAGAAAGAAATGCATCGTTGTACAAACCGCATGAGAAAGTTGCTTGGTTAACCTCGTAACGCAAAGCTTACTGGTGAAATTAAGAAATCGCGAGCCACGTTTTGATATATTCGATATGAATGCATAAATTGTGCAGTAATAATGTATGTGTATGTCCTTCAAAATGTATTTAGATTTAACAATCAATTTCTTCACACCAATCGCACGTTTTTGCGACGGTGTTGAAGAAGATTGTCTTACGGTGGTGATACACATTGAACAAAAAAAAAAAAATAATAAATATTCTTCGTCACGTAATTGATTTGAAAGCAGGGGAAAAAAAAAAAGAAAAACAACTCGTACGAATCGTCGATATTAAACGCGTTGAACTTAACCTCAAAAGCGCAAAGACTTTTGAGTTTGTTTGAAGTTTCAATAGGGGGCATACAACATATATAACGAATACTTTTTCTATTTTATAATTATCCTACGTTCGCATTAATGAACAAGTTCAAAAACCTTTTAGCAAGAAACAACTGGGAGAACTGGGGGTGGGGGGAGGGCTCTGTAATCGAAACTTTTGATAATAGAAGGGATGCAATTAACGTATTGTATTACAAATGTAAACATTTGAAACCCGATTAGGATACATTACATGAGTAATACCCCTTCCAATCGAACGACGATATAATTGAACAAAATTTACATGCCAATCATTTTCTTTCTTATTTCTTGCCAATTGTTTGACCCTATAAAAGATTGTTGAAGAGAAAGAACTCTAAAGGACGATTATTGAAACGATTGAAGCAATTAATTTTCCTACAAGACAAGACAAGACAAGACAAGACAAGACATTCATCGTTTTACTAGACAATATACTTTAAACTAATTGGACGAATATCTGTGTAATTCGTTATTTAAACTGAAAATAATTGTCAAGATAAGAGACAAAATATCTTCTTCCAAGTCTTTCGAGATTGTATCATTCTTCGTATGCGTGGAATATATTTTGTTGCTGTTGCTGTTGTATTTTTGATAACATTTTGAATATTTAGAAAAAAAAGTAATTCCCCCCTTAAGAAAAAATCGATTGACAATGTAAACGCAAATGTTAAATGCATTGTCTGGATATTATTCAATGCTTTTCAATGGAAAAATAGAACAATGGTAAGTTGATGCGTTATGTCTGACGTTATTGTTTGATTATCATCGTATGAAATGCAAGAAAGATATGAAATTGCAACGAATGATGAGACTCGTTCACTTGCCAACAACTATTTCCTCATATCTGATGAACAAATAAAAATATCATTGGCCTTCAGTCAGCATTATTATTCGTTTTAACGATAGAAAAAGACTAGGAAGATATATACATGATTCTAACTCTGTCAAATTTAGTGGGTCAAGTCTTGGTGAAATTCCATCGTGATTAGTAGAAAATTTGTTCTGTGATTTATCAAAGAGGGCTGCCGAGATAAACTCGAGAAGGATAATAGATAACGCGCGTTACGATGAATCAAAATAAATATGAAAAGTATCGTAACGATCTTACGATTAATTATGGTATCATATTGTCCCTTCCTTTTTTTTTTTTTTTTTTTTGAAAAATAATTAATGAAGACATTTGCATTAAAACAAAAATGTTATTGTCTATCGTACACAACCGATAAACAACAACAACAACAAATAAAAAATACTCCGATAAGTATATTCATTAGTCTTATCATTTGCATTAAAACAAAAAAAAAATGGCAAAAAAAATACGGTGCCGAATATATTTGCAACAATTGTATAATTCTACCTGCGAATATTTTTGCACTTTTAATAAAAGTCGATAACGCGTTTTTATCTTTCCCAATTGTTCACTAAAATGCAACTATTTATTCTCAACATTTACGTTAAAATAATTGCATTATTATGATATCTTAAAAGCATACTACTAGCCTTTTAGAAAAGGAAATATATTCAAATGACTAGTTCGAATATTTCATATCGGTTATTGATAAAAAATTAAACACGTGGAAATTGATTAGCATACGATAATGTCTGTTTTCACGGTCATTTATATGATTACACGTGACACGCACGTCATAAATCTTTCAATTGAAGTCATATTTCTTATTATTCACTTTTTCATTTGTCACATTTTCTTTTTCTTTTACCAAAGTAGCTTTTTCTTTGGGCTATAATTATTTGTCCAAATGAATCCTTCCGTCAGATAACGCGCGCGCGAGCGAGCGAGCGAGCGTTTCGGTTTTATTAAACAAATTTTCGTCTTATTTTAATATTACGTAAACTTTTTTATCTACGCAGGTATATAAACCGTATAAATTTGACGGTAATATCATTTCTATCAAATTCAACGATTTGTTCGTAAAGTAAGAACGTTTAGATTTCATTAATTTTTAACTTTTCAATTAAATTATTAATTAACGATCGTGATATTAATTTTGGTTTTTTTTTTCTCTTTTTTTTTCTTTCTATTTATACGTATATTGCTTACTCACATATTTGAGCTTGAATTTAAGGTTTAGAAAGTATTACAATCTTCTTAAGGAACTTGGCTAGTTTGGATTCTTCCTGTAAAGACAAAAACACGATTAAAGGAAAACGTGTTCCTTGTGAAACTCTGAACACGTTTATTTATGCAACTGCACTCAACTAAATTACTCGAGACTTCAAAAGCTGTGAGTAAATGAACTATAAAAAAAGAAGAAAAAAAAAGCTATAAACTATTATCAGTAATTACCTAACAGATATAATAAATGTCCATTCATTTTTGTTTTTTGTCTTACCTTCAAGTTATCCTAGATTCTTGTTGAGTATTAAAACAATCCAGTGATTCACACTTTCGTCAGATTTCATTGAGGAAAACCAAAAACTTCCTTGCACCAGCGTATTCAGATGATTTCCAACAATCTAATTTGCCGATGGTATCCTATCCCATTTATTATTTTTCGCATTTTAATCTTTTATCCAATTTTCTTTTTATCCTTCAATCACTCAATTGAATAATTTTTCGATTATATTCCTTTGTTTTTTGTTTTTGTTTTTTGTTTTAAGCACTAATTATTAGAAAACGCGTGATAGAGTATTTAACTAGTTGACGATAAGATTGAGAATGAACAAGTACAAAGCGATATCTTTTAACTCTACACCTTTAAATAGATTAAAAAGATAAATGCAATATCTTTCTATATATATAACAGAGAACGTGGTTACATCGGCAAAGTCAAGATTCGTAGTGACTTGTACGACCACGAGCTCCTCGTATATATCAATTTCAATCGTTCTACGAGAAAGAGGAGAGTAATTCCCCTCCCTCTGGCAAATCTTACTTTTTCCTCTTCTTTCAACACCCCTTCCTATCATATAACATTTCTCATCAGTCATACACGAACTTTCTTTTATTCGATAAAAATCATTTTTCTCATTTACTAATCACCTTCAATCAACTTTTCGATAACTCGACAGATTTCAAATTAGATTAGCAGAAAATGTTTTAATTATAACACGAGATTGTTAACTAATATTTGATGATTACATTGAAATATTGAATTTATTTGTCAATGGTGGTGGTGGTGGGTCCACTCAAGTGGAGTTTTCATACTTAAAATATTGATTGCATCATCAACTGCAAAAAATCGTATCGTCCTAGATTTATCACCGCATCAGAATTCAAGATTCTATTTTAAGTATTACAGAGTGTACGATCGATCCTATTTAGCGATAGACGAGAAGATACATTTTTTTTTTGTTTAATCTTCCCCTCCCACTACCACCTTCCCCTCTCTGTTCTCCTTGTGTCGGTTAATCATACCAAGAACGGTCAAGAAATTTTATGCGAGTCACGCTAATCGATCTACGAGTACGAGAAACATCGTTCAGACTCTCTTCTTCATGGGCTTTTAGAGTCGAGTCATGCGGGAGATCAAAAAGATCAATGGATTGTAATTAGTTGTTACTCAGTTAGTCAAGAAAATAAAGAAATACATAGAAATGTATATTATTTTTACCGATGAATATCAAGAAAGTGACTCTCCGGGGCCCTAAAACTTCATTTCTTTTTAAACTAAACTATTCATCATGATTTATTTTTTTTTTTTTACTTGGAAAAGACAATTCTTTGAGTATTTCTTCTTCGTTTTTTTTTTTTTGCTTTTTGCTCGAGATACGTATCGTTACAAATGACCATGGTACCTTCCGAGACTTGTTTTAATAAAATGAAAAATTACGAAAGAAATAACCAACATTTCCAAGAAGAGAATATACCAAAAAAGAATTCTTTATACTTTCAAGATTCATACACGTGTTGTTAATTTGTTTTTACTAATTATTAAAGTATTAATCTTTTATATATACAATTGTATATATATATATATATATATGTGTGTGTGTGTATTTAAAAAATAATTATATACAGCGTACATAGATAATGAAAAAGTATTTAAACAATTTGACACTAAGTTACATTTAGTTTGAAACAAGACTCGTAACAATTGTAATACGCAGCCATCGTAGTTTTTTTTGTAACAACTATTTTTATAGTTGAATTAAAAAGGTAATACGATAAAATGACTCGACAAAATTCAATGAGTATAATCACAAATCAATCGATTACTTACCATTGTTTTACAATCTATAATTTCATTTCAAGTAGATTACGATTGATATCGTAACATATTTTCTAGATTCTAGTTAACGATAGATAAAATTATATTCGTAGAATCTTCTTCCTTTTTACTTATCATGCTCAAGAATAATCCCAAAACAAAAGAAAAAGTATAAAAACAAAAATACGAGTTACGTTAATCGATGTAATTAACATCACTATCGTTTCATATGAAAAACGCAAGTTAAGGTTTCTTCATAACAGATATATATATATATATATATACTGTAAATGACTTTTTTTCTACATTTTCAGAGATAAATATAATAAAAATAAATAATTATAAGTAAATTAGTTTTATCTATATAAAACTATTATCTATAAAAAACGATAAATGGAAGGAAGACAATTAACTCGAGGTGAAATTTAGTATAAATTGATACGTCGTACGAGTTTATAATATTAAAAATGAAACTACATTTTGTCAATACATTGTTCATTTCATTGGCAATATTTGTGCCAATAACAACGAATGGATTGAATATTTTGTCATCAACATTATGGGATTTCATAACGATAAATCATTTCAACGAGAATAGACCAATTTTAAAGAAATACGATTTCATAATAATCGGTGCTGGTACAGCAGGATCAGTGGTAGCCAACAGATTAACAGAAAATCCAAATTGGAAAATATTATTGTTGGAAACTGGTGAAGAAGAGACAATTTTATCGGATGTACCAGCTGCAGCACCAGCTGCATCATTGACCAATTCTATTCGTACATATTTTGACCAACCATCAAAACCAATGACTGAAAGCAATGGTCATTGTTTATCATACAAAAATAAACGTTGTACACTAGGAGTGGGTAAAGCTGTTGGTGGTTCTACCACCATCAATTTTATGGCTTATGTGAGAGGTGAGCCACAGGATTTCAATGATTGGGCAGCTCTTGGAAATCCTGGATGGAATTACGATGACGTTCTTCCGTACTTTAAGAAATCGGAAAATTGCAAAATACCCGATACAACCGAAAGGTATTTGTAGTATTTCTTTGTTTTGTGTAATACACGTTAAGAGAAAATATTGTCAAGTCATCGAAATAACACAACACGATTTCCATTAGATTTCATGGTTACGAAGGATACTTGGACGTTAACTATGCTTCCTATTCATCACCGATTAAAGATATATTTTTTAATGCCACCAAAGAATTGGGATACAAAATAATCGAGTACAATTCCGACGCGAACATTGGATTTGCCATAACTGAAGCTACCATACGAAATGGACATAGATTGGATGCCAGTAAAGCGTTCCTCAGATCGATCAAAAAACGCCCAAATTTCTACCTGTACAAATCTTCAACGGTAACAAAAATAGTTATCGATGAAAAAACCAAAACAGCTGTAGGTGTTCATTTTGTTAGAAATGGGAAAGATTATTTTGTTAGAGCTAGCAAAGAAGTCATCCTAAGTGCTGGTACGTAATTAAAATAATAATCAAAAAAGTTCATCGAAAGTAATCAAAGTGAATGAAACAGGTGCCATAAATTCACCGAGATTGTTGATGCTGTCCGGTATTGGACCAAAGGATCATTTAAGTTCTTTCAATATCAACACGATTGAAGATCTTCCCGTAGGATTTAATTTTCATGATCATTTGGTCATGACAATTTTTAATTTTATTTTAAAGGAACCTGTTATCAATATATTAAGTTTCGACAATATTTTAAATTATCTACTCAAAGGAACTGGCCCATTGACTGTACCTGGTCTAACCGAATGTCTTGGTTTCATATCAACGAAAGATAACAACAACGGTACAAAAGGTATAAATTTGATAATAATTTGTAAAATACTAAATACTTTGTTATAATAAATATATTTTCAATGAATACAGAAGGGAATATCCATGAGAGACGAGACGGCGAGCTACTTATGGCATTAGGGGGTTTCGTTGGCACAGGATCTCAAATTTTCAAAACAGTTCTTTCATTTGACGATGAATTTTATGAAAGTGTTTTTGCCAAGTACGTAGGGATGAACAGTTTTTCCATTTTTCCAGTACTGATGCATCCTAAAAGTCGTGGAAGAGTTAGTTTAAAAAGTTCCGATCCCATGGATGATCCTATCATTGATACCAATTATCTTGATCACGAAGATGACATGAAAACCTTTATCGACATAATCAAAAAGGTATTTTTCTTTTTTTTTTTTTCAATCACAAATATTTATATATTTTATTAATTATTGTTGAATATTTGTTGAATATTTGTTGAATAACAGATGATCAAATTATCTTCAACGAAATCATTTCAACGTTACAACATCACCATGGTACCCGTGAAATTTCCCGGATGCGACCATACGGAATATTTGTCAGATTCTTTCTTAGCTTGTTTAATACGACACACTGCTGGAACATTATGGCATTACGTTGGAACGTGTAAAATGAGTCCCAGAGATAAATCAGGGGTGGTTGATCCTCGATTGAAAGTATATGGTATTAAATCGTTGAGAGTTGTTGACAACAGTATAATACCAACTATAGTCAGTGGTCATTTAGCTGCTGCAGCTTACATGATTGCTGAAAAAGCGAGTGATATGATCAAAGAAGATTGGAAATCAAATTAGAAATTCATTTCTTTTTTCTTTTTATTAATCATACTGAGTTAATATTACAAAAATAATATTATTATATTGGTATGGTAATATTTGTGGTAATATTTTATATTATGTGGATGGTAAGTGGTGAGAATGATTTTTTTCTTCATTTTCATTTTTATTTCCATGAATCATCTTGTTTTATCCCTTACTGTTTCCTTTCGTTACTAAAAACCTACAAACAGTTTCGTTCATGCCCTAACACGAAAGGCTTAAATAATATAAAAATTCTATTTAAAATCCTGACAAAATAAATACTACGCGTATAACACGTCCGTTGTCTTTGGTTACATTCTACATCTATCGCTAATTTTCTTCCTTATTTACACGATCAAGTTAAGGAATATTTCAATAAATATTTATATATATATATATAATTAAAATAATCATCTAGGAAGGTAAATGTTGCATTGCAGTGGTTTTACTATTTGGTTCGGTACTTTACGATTCCGTAATCTTTTCCATTATCCAGATAGATAAGTTTACAAAGATTACCAGAGAGAAGAGATAAGCTTGCAAACTGGTAGCACCTGTTTAAAATATGATTTGTTAGAAAACAATTAACAAAAAGAAATGCTATAAATAATTAAACAAATTACCACTTTCGCTGTATCGAATGCAATCGTCCAGTTCTTGAGAAATTATATAATCCTTTGCACAAGTACAACGATCTTAAAAAATAGAAAAATGATTAGAGTTTCTTATGCATGTAATTTGAGTTAAATCAAGTATCGTATCGTACCATTTAAACAATCAACTTTCATCAACTCGGTTGAATTGGAATGTTTGTAGGTTTGAGTTACACACTCGTTGTGGGACACGCAACGTTGACCCAGTCCTAAAAATAATGATCAATTAAATAAACAGAACAATAAGATTGACAAAATCTTCTAATCGTAGCAACAAAACTAACCAACATCTCTGATACAGACAGGACCACGACGATGATAATTGTCCACGCACGTACAAACGTTTTCCTGACAGATGGTGTTCTGTAAAAATTCCTGACACTGCAAATCTTCTTGGCAACCTTCACCAACAGAGTTGGCTGCCTTCAAACATCGCGTACCATCTTCAGAAAGTACATAATCGACTTTACACTTGCATACTTCCATACACCTAGTGTTCTCCGATACGCACTCGTAATCCTGTTCGCATTTGTCACCTAAATCTATTCAACCAATCACAAAATATATTAAATACAAAGGTAATGTTCACGTTCCAAGTATTTTAATGCAAATACTTACAAGAATTATTGATACATTTTGTTCTCTCAGGATTAGAATGTTGACTACTATCGCAAATGCAATAACCACCCACGCAATAACTGTCTTTGACATAACAGTTATGATTCGTTTGACATATTCTACCCAATCCTACAAAAATTGACAATATAATTGTTATTTGTAATATCTTTAATAATTGTGGTTGTTCATCGTAAAAAAAAAAAAACTAACCAATGGATTCGTAACACCTGCCGTTTACGAAATGTGCCGTGGAAGAACACTGACAAACTTGATTACGACACTCGGAATGTAGGGTAAAGGTCAAGTGACATTGGACATCGGCCATACAGGTATCCTCGATGTTGTTGGCCACTAAAAAATAAATTAAATGTTTAAAATATTCTACGAATTATAATATTAAAAAATGGTATAGGGAAACTAGGTCAATAGGTGAATGTTCGGAAAAGTTCGTGCCGATTTTGACGAAAGATTGAAGTTTCAATTTAATTATAATTTAATACTAAGTGGCATTCTATTTCACAACCTTTCTTTATGGGTAACTTGAAAATTTGGTTTTTCCAAAACTTGTAAGGTTTTTTCAACAACAAAAAAGTGTATACCACGTACTGAAAATTGGCACAAACTTTCCGGACAATCCAATATTATTCGAATATATATATATATATATAGAAGATTTGTCCGTGTCTCATTGTTTGGTTGTGTTAGAGTTTAGTTGGATCGGTGAGCACGACGAACGACGATACGCTCCGAGTGAGTCGCGGGAGAGAAACCGTGAGAAAGGGACTGGTAGAAAAAGGAATAGGGAAGGTTCGGTAGGATGGAAGAGAAGAACTCGTTGCACCTTAGAGGTCGCCGACACCGTTTCGTGCAACGCTCCAGTAGAAGACGATTAATCATCAAAATCTTACATTCGTACTAGAACGTTTTAACTCTGCCCTACAACTTTAGTATCATTTCAAATCCCAACTTGATGACTTTAATCGAAATAAATGATCTTGGAAAAATCTCCCCAGTTATTTTTCTCACAAGTTCAACTTTGTGAACAATGAAATATGTAAATAGTCTTAACGTGGGAACGTTTTGATACCTTTCAAGCAATGGTAATTGCTGTTGTTCCTGTAAACGACGTATCCGTCTTTGCAATAGCAAGCTTTCTGATTCCAACAGTAAGCATTTTCCATGCAATCCGAGTCGTAACGACATATCGCTAGGGTCTCTGTAAAATATATCATTAATTTCTATAAATACAAAATTAATTCAATTAGAAGAGAAAGTATGATAATAAATATGAAAAGTAATAGAATAGAATAATCGGTGGTGTCCCTGGAGGATGATGGATGGTTACGTACGAGGTGGAGATCTGCGATCGTTGCATTTAGGGTAATCCTCTAAGGGTAAAGAAATGCTGGCACAGACGGTGACGGGCACGAGAACGAGGAATCTCGTGATACCACCGATCACCATCCTCGAGATGTTACAAATCTTGTCTTCTTCTTCTCCTCCTCGTCTTCGTCCTTTTTCGAAGGTTGTTCCATCGACACTGTTGCCCTTCTTCTTCTTCTCCTCCTCCTCCTCTTCCTTCTTTTGCTTCGACAACTCCACCTCTTTCACGATCGTACATCCGAACAACAACAACAACAACAACTTCTCTATCTATCTGACGTTTTTTTTTTCTTCCTCTCGTCGTTCTCCGAAGGCCAATCCTTCAATGGATGATACTCTTATTGTTTCGATCGCTTGCGCAACACGATTATGTGCTTTGTTCGATGCCTAACACACACGCACACACACGCACACCTTAAGCCCTGATTTTCTTCCTCATATTTACACACGCGTTCAATTACTTTGATTTTCCTCTTCCAAAAGAGATGGACACGTCATGTTCAAGCTGATGCAACTAACCATTGAAAAGTCTTTTTAAAAATAATTAAATAGTATATGATAACGTGATTGTTTCTACACTGTTAATCATCCATGACGGACGGTCTATTTCTCCAACACAAACGAACATATCTGCATATTTAAACACGCATGACTGAACTAACTACAACTATATTTGTAATTATTATTTAATGGCTTATACTATTAAGGAAATTATGTTAAGTTTAACACATATTGTTTACTTTAATGTTCTTAGTCATTAAACGAATTAAAATACTCGGTAATGTTTACGTAAAAAATGGAATGGAAAAACGAAGACTGTAAGTCTAGTGGTTACGTCATTGTATCGGATAAATCTATCTTAATAGAAAAATACTAATATAGTTAAACGTAGTATGAAATAGTTGCATCTCCATTTTCCCTTTCTAAACTCATTGCAAATAGAAAAACAAGTATTCTGTGGATTATTCTACTTAACTAATTACACACACGAGACTTTTATTCTTACGTTGGAAAGGTTCAGCTAACCGGTAAAGAATCAACAGCGTGAATCCGGCCTTCTTCTTCTTATTCTTCTCCTTTTGCAACACACAACCTTTTCACGATTCTTCGTGAAAAATAAGAAGAAGGAGAAGAAGAAGAAGAAGAAGAATGGATTACTGGGTCGCGAAACAGAATACAATGATCCTTTAACGAGTTCTTTTCTACACAACACATTAATCTAACTTCATATAAATATAAAAATATACTTAAAGAATGAAAGTTTTTGTTAAAATAGTTAGAGAACTAAACTAACGGCAAGAAATGGTGAAATTAATAGCCAGTTGCCAGGGACGGTGGGGAACCCGGTGCAAAGTTTCGTCTTACAACAACCTTTCGGATCGATAATTCCTTCACGACCTCGAACAAATGTTAATCGATATAATTTCACGTTGCTAAACGAGCAATAGAAATATCTTACCAATTATCGACAGGAAAAAATGAGAATCAATTAAAGTACTTGATAATTATACCTATCAATCCATTGGGAAAAGGTTTTACAAAAAAAAAAAAAAAAAAAGAAAGGAAAAAAATGATTTCACTCAATCAAAGATCAAAGTATTATTGACAATCTATCAACGTGGATCTGACACTTGCAAATAAACAAAAACAACAACTAAAAAATAGAATAAAAATGAAAGGTAGAATAATAATAGTGACGAGGGGGGAGGGGGGGGGATAAAAAAAAACAATGAAAAAAAAATAAAAGGGAAAATGATAATTTATAAATGACGTTTGTTAAAAAAAAACTCACTTCTTTGCAAAAGATGTTGATGCTGTCCGTGCGCGAGGACGACTGATGTTTGAGCGAGGAAACATAGAAACACTGTCGGCGCTCGAATCGGCTTGCACCACCATTTTTTCCACTCTCCACCCCCGTTCAACAACGACGAACACTTCAACCTTTTCATTTCTTCGTTCTCTTGAATAATCCTCGACGAAATTAGTGAATTTTTCGTACTTTATCTTCTCATAACTTTTTAAACGAACACTCTTTAGCTACGATTCTTCATTAATATCTTGTTTAATTTATCTTATCTAATCGTTAGATAGAAGCTAAAGATAACAAACGAAGCTGTACGATTTTTCAATCATTCTTCACGTAGAATATCTTTAACAGTATAGTTCTTTTAACAAGTCGCGATCGTGTCTCTTTTATACCAGGTGAAAATCATCAAAACCACACCTGCTATAATAAAATTCCACTTAGGTTAACTAACGATGTGTCATCGTTATCGTGTCAACGGTGATACTTTTGTGGTAGGAGAACTTGGAATCGTGGAAAGTGGTGGGATTTTCTTTCTATATATTCTCTTCTTCTTCTTCTTCTTCTTCTTCTTCTTTTAATTAGAAAGTTTAATCCACCGATTTGAAAAGAAAACAACAAAATACAACGCCTTAGTTTATCTCTCGTATTATGATCGTATTATATTTCTCAACAGAGCGAGTTTAATGGCCAACCCATTTTTACTTTCTACATTTACACATTTTTCTTTTTATTTTTTTTTATTAACTCGCCCCTTCCCCCCCTTCCTATATATACATATATATATATATATTTGATTAAAGTTTAGAACTAAAAAATAATTATTGATACTGGGCTTTTTATTTGTTTAATAGAAAAATTAAACTTTGATAAAGTTTCATATAAAAGTATTTTTTAAACAATTTCTCTCTCTCTCTCTCTCTCTCTCTCTTGCTTTCTATACATATAAACCTATATATATATATATATTATGTATGCATACATATACAGTACTAGTATGAAGTGCACATTACTCTTTAAATAAAATACTAGAAAAGCTTAGTGTTGCTAGCAAAAGAAAAAAAAAATGAACGATTAAACTAAAGAAAAAAAAGGGAAAGAATAATAAAAAAAAAAAAACGAGAGATTCTTTTCCCCATTGGAATATTGAAAAAAGTCTTCTTTGTTCTTTGGTATCGCAAGGATTTAAATATCGATCGTAAAGTAACATTTTTGAAAAATGAGAATGAATGAAATCGTTGAAAAATCTTTTGCTACTTTTTCACACCGTAGGATTTGTTGTTTGAGATGTTTTGATGTTCTTCTTTCGTGTACAGGTACTTAACAAAAATGAAAAATTCATGAAGTACACCAAACAGGGGTTGACTTAGCAGATCTATTAAATCTTCGTCGAGTAGATTTCTATTAATGATAGAAACCATAAATGAAGGATGATAAGGCAACCATAATCACCATTAGAGAACCATTAATGTTCATTAGAACGCCTGAAAAATAAATATTCAAAACGTATGATATATTTTTTCATTGACAAATTAATGTTTTCTTTGATTCTTACCTGCATTAACGCACTTGTCTCCATCTTTAAAATAATCTACTGCGCAATCGCAAATGCTTCCAACGCATACCAACCTTTTATTTATCATTTTGGTATTATTTTCAAGCTGGTAACATTCGTAATCATGTTTGCAAGGTTCACCGATACCTAAATAATTATCAAATAATTATTCAATGCAATAATTATTGTTATTATTATTAATATTATAATAGCTCACTTTTGCTACGAATACATTGTCCAGTTTCTGCCACGAAATGTTTATCATTAGGACATTGACATTTATTTTCTATACAGGTAGAATCTGGTATCGTAGAACACGTGATATTTTCCATACAAGATTCGTTGATATTATTTACAAAAGGAACGCAATTTTTTCCGGTTTTATCGATTGCATTGTTCTCATTACACCCACAGATTTTCTTGTCCGTACAAATGGCGCCCTTTATATGATTACATTCCTCTGATGTTGAACATGATCCACCGAAAACTAAAGGACAATCAAATTCAAACATAATGGATCATCATCGAGTTTTTGTTTTCTTATCAAATCACATTTTACCAGCTATTTTCCAGCAAACGTTGTTAACTGCATGATACCCGTCAATGCAAACGCATTCCAGTCCTTGGCAGGTTGTGTTAGGTTGAAAAGCTAAACATTGTTTATCCTCGATGCAAGGAAAATTCAATGATCTGGCAGCTGCAAGTAAAAGAATTTGTTTGATTGTACGTATGTTTATAGTTTGTAGCGAAAATGTAGCTCTTTCTAACCTTGTAGACATTGTTGTTTGTCCATCGAAAATACGAAACCTTTGATACATTCGCACTGACTTCGACTAGTATTGCAATAACTGTTATTTAATTGACAATCTAAGTCGTGTTTGCACGGGTGATAAAGGGTCGGTACTGTAACACACGATTAACATAAAAACTTGGTTTTTTTGTTAACTTTCAAATGTGCCCATAATTATGAAAGTGGTCTCTAAGTGATCTATAAGTCAAAATTATCAGTTATTTCACATCACATTATTTTAAATTAAATAAATTCAATGTATTTTTCATGAAATATTCAAATGTAATGATACATGACTTAGATCATTTTCATAATTATGATCACAAATATGTTTCCATGTAATTTTCATTTTACCAATTGCTTTTTCTTGCTGCGAAGCTATTTGTAAACCGGAACAATTGAACATTTTTCCTTGCTCATTTTCGCAAGCGCAAAATTTGTTCAGACATGTCGAATTTTTCTGATCTTTCGATAAGAGTGAACAATCAACATCACTTTTACATGGAACCGGTAATTCTGTAATTTAATTTCATTAGATTTTTACAAATTGAACAATAACGTTGCAATACGTAAAACAATTGGGATATTTTAATTATTTCGAGTCGAGAGAAACATAATTTATTTAATTCTCGGTTTACAAGTATAATAATAAGAGACCAATTTTTAGCGTTGATTCATAAGATCATCGTTTTAATCTCTTCAAGGATATCTAAGCGTACACAGCAATTAACGCGTTTCCTCTTTGATGCTTAAAGACAATAATATTCTACTCTCTATTAGTAGCAATTTTGTTTTCTACTTTTTTTTTCTTTCTTTTCTTTCTTTCTTTGTGCTAACCTCGATACTCATAATATTGATATACACCATGTATATATATATGATACAATTCTTAGAAAGACTTCACTGAAATCCACAACAAACTCTCGTGTGGTGATTAAACTTCAATGTCGAGTTACGATAAACAGTGTAATTCTTCTTACCAAAGAAAAGAAGAAAAAAAATTCTTAACCCCATACGTACTTACATGAAATCTCAAATCTGCAGAGTAATATGTTTATTACAATTGCTAAAATAAAATAGTCTAAACGAGTAAAGTATTTGAATGATCGCGTAATTAACATCTCTGCGTTGTGTTTTATCAAATCAAAATTACATTAATTACAATTGCAAAAAATCTCAATTAAATTAATAAACGATTCGATCGTAGAAAATGTGTCGATTTTTAGTTAACATTTTGTCAATTTTGTCCTTGTTAAAGACACCTACCCTTATTACCAATCTAAGATTGTTGTTTAATCATTTAAATTTGATCGTAAAAATACTAAAAACGTTTCATAAAATTCCAATAGAATGATTCATACGACACGTGTAGATTCACATAAATGCAGAAACATGAAAAGAGAGAGATCGGATTAAAAATAATTACCAAAATTGAGACAATCGATCGGACGATCGAGTAGAAATAAAATAGCAAAAATAAGAAGATTATTTCTCATGATGATTGACAATGAAATATAATAATTTCTATTATAATCACTGTAGAAAAGTATAATTGTTGTTAACTTTTGAACTAGAAATGCAAACGTGTAACTAAACAACCATTCAACGTAAATGGCAACGTGCGACTGGCGAATACGAGAATCCTCTCTCAGTTCTCTCTCGCGAAGGCCTTTTCCCACTCTCTCTCTCTCTCTCATTCTGATTTTGCCTTCTAATTTTCCTTCTCTGTCTTTCTTCCTTTATTTCACCGGTACTACCTCTTACTCTATTTTACTTCGCATCAGCATTTGCGAGTCTTTTATACAAGGTGTCTCGCGTTTCGATCAACCATCCAAATCTAAGTTTCTTAGAAAACAAACTTTACAAATGTATTTCATACTTTGATACTTTTTCATCGTCAATCATTTTCTCATGCAACTTTTGCTTTCCTCGTTCTTCCATAGTCAGATGAAATTAATCGGATTTTTTGGTTTCTTTTTTTTTTCAGAACTCCCTTTAACACAAGTGGCCTTAAAGATTGGGGAAACGACTATTACGTTTAGGTGAAATGAAAAATGCATCAGAATGAAATATAAATGTTTGTCTTCTTATAAATAAATTGTCGTAATGACCTTATACGTCAATCCACATAAATCTAATGAACCATGGACACTGTCAATCTCATCCCACGTTTATCATCGAAGATGGAGAATCGTCAATCCTTTTTTTAAAATCGATCCTACGATATAACACATTTATCATCGATTTAATTTATCGAAAGATCTCACGTCTTTAATGGGTAACCTTCTCACAGTTTCTATTTCCGTTTTATTCACAAGATATTTCTCGACAATGACGGTGAACATTTGTAAGAGATAAGAGAAAAGTACTTTGCTTTGCTTTGTATTTCCATGATGAACCAACTTGATTTCTAATCAATTTCAACTTTCGTTCTACATAAGTGGAAACTTTGTATGTGTTGTTGTTGTCGTGCATACAATGAAACAGATATCGCGTGTCATAGTTTTAATCAAATTAATAGATATTCAAATTAATGATAAATCCTGTTGCATTTCATTGCATAATAGGTAACAGTACGAAATATATTTATTTTTTGACGAATGTTAAACATATTCATCCATCCGACACGTTTAACAAATAGTTTGAATCATTGTTTAATCAGAATTGTACTGTTTTTTTATTAAAAATTCTTAGAAAGGTTCTTCTCGTTAGAAATATATATATACTTGTATATATAAATGTATATCAAAAGAGATAGATAAAGAGATAAGCATTATCACAGTAAGGTGTGTGCACGTTGGAGAGAAAAGTGAGTCAATTTGAACGTCTATTCAGTTGACAAAATAGTGCGTGATGCTCTCATTGTTTCACGATTAATACATCTAATTATTATAGATAAAAATTTATAATTTTACAACGATGATAGCAATTATCAGACAACTTGTCTTTTGTTTCGTTGGTATTGAATTGTTCTTGTGTTCAGCTGAAAGTATAAGTAAGTGTATACGTGTGTTACAAAAAACCTGCACTCAAACTTACTTTGTGATATTTTGATTGAATAAAATGAATGACTTTTTGAATGATAGAAAAACCACATGGAACTGCGTTGTTCGGTGAACCATGCGAAAGGGATTACCATTGCATCGAGAATGCATTTTGTCGTGGTCAAAGTATATGTCAATGTGAACAACATTATTCACCGAATCCCGAGAAAACGGCTTGTCTAGCAAGTATAATATTTATAATAACGAGATTAATAGTATTTAACTACATCCGACGATTACGAAGAAAAATGATATTGACAAATATTTCATTTGATTATTTTGCAGCAGTCGGATTAAGTTGCAAGGATGATTCTACTTGTGCAACCATGTCAAATGCAGTTTGTCGTCAAAACGTGTGTACTTGCAAAGACGAGTTCACATTGGATATCAACAATTCGTCTAATTGTATGAAAAGTAAGAGTATCGAGTATATTTTTCTTACTATATATCAGCGTATCATCGATTAGCTAGGGTTATGAAAAATTCACGAAAGATAAGAAAGTTAATCGGTGCATTTTAACTCTGATAACTCGTGTTATATCGTTTAAAAACGAATTTAACTTTGATAGGATATTTTTTCTTCTTTTACTGACTATCATATATTTTTGTAGGGCCATCGAGGGAAGGTGACGTTTGTCAGAGAAGGGACGAATGCGAAGAAGCTATGGAACGTGCAATATGCATCAATAATAAATGTCATTGCATCAATAGTTTTCGTTTCGTTAAGGAAATCGGCAAATGCATTGCAGCTCGCAGTAATAATTACTTCATTTTTGCAATTTGAATGAACCCTTTGCAATGGTGACTCGAAATAATTGATCCAGTGCAAAGGGTTAAATATTTTATTAAATAATAGACTAATAAATGATAATAATTCATTGATTTTCCTTTCAAGATTTATACAATTCGTGTAGCAAAGATTACGAGTGTTTCCTCGATGGTAAACCAAATATTTTACAATGCAAAAATAACGAATGCGTTTGCAGGGACAACGATTTGCATTGCAACACAGGTTAATGTTTATCTTAGACTCCTTTTCATTTTTTTTTTTGGTTACTCTTTCTATCATTTATTTTTTATTTTTTTAGGTTCGTTCGTTGCAGCAACGATAGGACTAATCGTATCGACGCTAATCTTAGCACGGACAGCTTAATATTGATAAGAATTCATTGTACAATATTCGAAAAACAGAACAATTTTATGTATAAACATTTAAATTTCGTTCCTTCTTTTCCCCTACTCTATAACGAAAACGTTTTGCCAACTTAAATGACATTTTTCATTCGTAGTTTCGTTTACAAAGTTGGCAACACTTTTGTAAACGAACGCACTCTGTTGTCTAATTGCAACAACATCGTTAAACTTGCTGGTGGACAGTGCAATTTAATTTATGAGACATTTATAATGCGTTAAATTGCATTATAAACAAATTAATTTATTAAAAATATAAAGGTATGTAATCATGTTACAATTAATTGTCATTTATGTACACTTGCAATTGAAAATGCAAAATGAAATGACACGAAAAAAGAATGAGGTTAAGAAGTCAAGATTGAATGAAAAGAATTGAACAAAGTTTAATGGAAATATTTGAATAGTGAATGAAATGAATAGAAATAAAATGACATTTCTGATTGATACGATGTAGAAATTTGTTCTTTTCAGAATGTCGTTCATCGTCAATACGATACGCACTGCAATTCGTGCATGGACACCACAAGTGAATACTGTACGGTATCGTTATCATGCTGATAAAATTGCAAAAGGTCCTTTAGTACGAAGACGTGGTTATGAGAGTCCAGTACATGTAAGAGGATTATTACCTCATACTGGTGGATTGAACAGACTTCCATTGCCAATCTATCGTCCTAAGAATGTTTGGACAGAAAAACGCGCATTGTTTGGACAAAATGATTATATTGATATTTTAGGATCTGAAAATTTGCATCCAACAAGAATAATGTACAATGTACAATCTTGGTTAAGAGGAGTTAAAGGAAACGAATATCAAATTTTGTTGAGAAGAAAGAAAATGTGGGGACCTGGTATCTTTCCTATTGCAAGGCCAACCAAATGGAGAGACCTGATGAAGAGAATCAACTTTCTATATAGGAGATTAAATAGAAAAACTAAAACAGGTTTTTCTAGAAAATCATAATAAATCAAATATCACGCTGTTTGTTATAACTTTAAGATTAATAATAAATATCAATTAGAAAAGTTAAAAACTACTTCGATCATTCGGCGGAGATAAGTGCACACAAATTGTTTCCTTCTTTTAACGTTATTCTTGAACATTCTTTGACAAAGTATAAAATAGCGAATTTATTTATTGACAATAATATTCATTATCCATCGGATATACGATTATTTTCACAATGATCAAGATCGCAAATGGTGTTTGTTATGCTAAAATACTTTTCATAATTGTTTTACTGTAAAAACATTTCATAATTTCATCACACGTATATACATTTGTTAAGCAGAAAAGTTCTTAATAATCAAAAGAAGATGGATATTTTCTAAGTACAATTAGGGTTAAAGAAGCCCTAAGAAACTAATTTTTTGCAGATCTACGTTTGATTATACGCATGTATGATGTATGTGTGTGGGTGTGTGTTTTGTATATATATATATGCATATCCTATGTATGTACAAAATAATTGCGAGTATTGTCGTCGATTTTTCTTAAAAAATACCTATAATCCGTTCTTATCAAAAACTCGAGAACGTTGTAATATGATGTTTAACGTGTTCCGCGATGGTTCTTCCATGGTATTTAGCAAACTAGTTCAATTAATTTTCTCTAAAGTAGATTCTAGTTTCAATTTGTTTTTTTTTCATTTCACACTCGAGGAAAGGTTTCTTCTTAATAATATTAATGATAGTACGTAAAAATAGAATACATACATATTGCAAATTGCTAATACTGTTTAAACCATCTCAAATATATAACTTGAAAACGGATTGGGGGTGGGGGGTGGGGGGAGCGACTAAAAATGAATAAAATCTGCTGCCTACACACACACCATCGCGAACAATACAAGAGAAATGGCGAGATAGATCGTTAATTCGGTTTAAGTTCTATATACATAAAACAATGGCAGTTACTCAAATTTTGTAAAAAGTTCTTTCCTTTTTTTTTGTTTGCTTTTGTTTGTTTTTTTATTTTTTTTATCTAGCCGTTGATCAATCAATTTGTCTAATTGAGCGTAATAAAAAGAATAGGTTCATAAATAATTTTGCAGAAACGATAGCAAGGTGGTTTCGTAATGTTTACTAGCATCTAGATTTCGAAGACTGTGCCTTTCATTAGGATAAATTTGCAGTTGATATGGTTTGCCAATTTTTACAAGAGCATTGATCAACTGACTGGTGTGAAAAAAGTGTACGTTCTCGTCTATCAGTCCGTGAATAATAAGAAGTCTATTTTCTTCATCGGGAAATTTGCTAACATATGTTAGAACCGAACCGCTCATATAACCGTGAGGATTATTTTGTGGAAGGTCCATGTAACGTTCGGTATAACCAGTGTCGTAAAAGTTCCATGATGTTACAGGTGCTCCGGCTATCGCCAACTACAAAAACATTAAATATCAAATGATATTATTTGTTGTTATACAACTATTCAATTAATAACGGAGACGTACCTTAAATACATCGGGATATTGTATCAAACCCATGAGACTAAGATAACCACCGTAAGACCAACCGTGAAGAGCTACTCGATTCAAATCAATGTATCCGGTCGTTTCCGCTAACCATTTTAAAACTTCTACTTGATCTTTTAATTCAACAGTTCCCATACGACGTTTCAAATAGCTTTCAAATACCAATCCTCTATGCTGCGAGCCACGAGAATCAATTAAAACAACGCAATAGCCTTGTGCAGCCAGCATATGCATTCTTAAGTGTCTCATACCCTGTTGACAAATGTTTCATCCTTAATGTATAATTGTTAAACTTAGTTTATACCTATGAACACACATTTTTCTTCTACTCACTTTAAATGTATTCGATACAAGTTGTACTTCTGGACCACCGTAAACATTTAATATCGTAGGATACTTAACTCCCGTTTGGAAATTATGTGGTTTAAAAATCATCGAGTATATCGTGTCTCCTGACATTATTTTATGCGTATAAATCTCAGGTGCGAATAAATCCGATTCGGGAGAAGATGGTTCCAACAAATAACCAACCGGAGTTAGGGTTATACTTTCTACCGTCCAATCGGATTGGGACACCCTAAATACCTAAAACAGGAACGCATAATCGGACATAGTTAAAAGATAATCGTATCATTTAGTTATTTTTGATTGTGAACATATAATAATCGTCGTACTTGACATATGGGAAATATTTTGATGGAACTGTAAACGGTGACGAGCATAGTGCACTCCTTATTAAAATATACATTATTATAACTATAACCGGGTCTTGTTAAAAGTCTTATTTCTAGGGGACGACGAAGAGAGACTGCATAAACGTGCTGTTCCAATGGACCCTCTCTCAATCCACAAAAGTAAACAATAGAATTGGTCTCGTCCACCCATAATTTTTTACCCAATACTTCCCAATCACCTTGGGTCAATGCAATTTTTGAAGTAACTCGTGGCTGTAGAAAGATACTATCCATTCGATCCAAGGATTCTTCTACTCCGTTACTTAATCCTAAAAAAAAAAAAGAAAAAAAGAATCATCATTTACAAACATTCCAATAATTTGGACAATGACAAGAGATATGGTTTCTTTTTATGTACCACTTATGCTGGATGTTATGAGATACAGATGTCTAAAATCCGATTCTTCGCTACCCCAAAGAAATTTAACTTCGTTAGGGTCATCCGAAGGCAGGAAGTAAAGCAAATCATTGACGTTCACCCAAACTGCACTCTGCTCGGAATATAAAACCTGAACGCTTCCAGACGATGATTTAGTATTGTATACACTGGTAGGAGGCTCACAAAAATTGTCAACCGATAATAAAACCAGTTCGAGCTTTTGTTGTTTTCTGTCTAATAGCTGTACCCAAACGCTGTTCATTTAGAAAAAATCATTAGGAGATTATTAAACATTTAATGTTTGATATATACGCATGCATGCACGAATATTTGTGCTTACTATTGGGCATCCGGGGTCCAACCAACTCTAACCATGTATTCCATCCATGGAAACATAATCTGTAGAGGATACTGTAGTTCTAATATTTCGTCGTCAACGATCTGTAGAGTTTCCGTTAATCGGAATTGCACCATTTTTAAATTACTCCTAGCGTTTGGCATACCAGCTCTAGGAAATCTAAATTCATCTACATCCTCGGAATTCGACGTTGAAGGAAAACAAAATATTTTCACTTCACTTTCGTCGACCTCTTCATATACTATTCTATAAATACCATCGTTAGATTTTGGCTGCCACCAGAAACCTATATACCTATATAAAATGCATTTTTGTTATAGCAAATTTTAAGTAGAACGCGTATGATCAAAGTTACAAACCTCGTGAATTCTTCTTGCATAACGTAAGAAGGAGTTCCAGCTGTAAGAGGATCATCTGCCATATTTCTGCCTCCTTTTCTAGCATGAGTTAATCTCACAGATGATCCTGTAACGCTATGCGACAAATATAAGTCACCGGAACAAGTGTAAGAAACTAAGGCATTGTTCCATGGGCAAATTTGTGGACACAGTTTAGCACCAGCAGTTGATATTCTAATCTCAGATGGGAACAAGGGTCCTGGCTGAAAAGTCCAAGAAATAGAATGAAAGATTTGCCTTTTTTTTTTTTCAGATGAATAAATGTTTGATCAATTACCATAAAGCCAGTGTCTATACATTGATATAAACTACTCGCAGCTGGGAAAACTAATTTGCCACTTTCAGCATGAATTTCATAACTAGTTATACCCCAAGTAGCTAGCCTTTTTCTTTCCCACAATAGCTGTTCTTCCTTTGACAATCTATTTGTACTGGATACACTAAAAGCATATGGGAGAAGTAGGATATAAGAAACAATATGGTACAATGAAAGATCACTAATATTTTAGAATGCAGTATCTTACCTTTGAAAATTTGCTTCTATAACTGGTTGCCAATGAAGACGATACCCATTGGCATGATCAGAATGTGCAATATCAACATATAAAAGTGTGGTTTCCCAACCATTGTACGGTGTACTGAGAAAATATATTCTGGTGCTGAAAAGTGAACACAAATTTGTAGATACATGTGTTAAAGGTTTTTATTTTTAATCAATTAGCAATAATATAATAATTTACCGTCCATCAGGTAAAGATCGAAAAGTTATAGATCCAGGTACAGATCCTGCTGATACACTTGACATTCTTCTTCTCAAATCGCTAACCGATGCACGTATTTCCTGCCAGGTTTTTTTCGTGACGGTTACATCGGTGGTTCCTGTTTGTTCTACGTTTTCGTTACAAGTATCCATATTTCTATATAATTGTATGTTTCTTTGAATATCTCCTAAGTCACGCGTACAACGGTACGAGACATCGTAGTAGACAACGTGAGACAACGATCATGATGACGATCACCTGTAACGATTCGCGACGTCACCCTTAAGGATTTATCTATTTATCTATCTTAAGATTTTCTTCTTCTTCTTCTTCTTTTATTTTTCCTTTAGGAGTATTCTTTTTTGCACCATGCACCACCACCACCACCTACTTCCTACGAGAACGATTATTATTTTTAGGTTATTTCTACCCGCGGTCCGTCCATTCACTTTCACCTCTTTCTTTTTTCTTCTTGTACCTCCTCCTCCTCCTCCTCCACCACCTCCTTCTTCTCTTCCTCGTCGTCGTCGTCGTCGTCTTCGTCGTTGTCGTCGTCGTCGTCGTCGTTGTCTAACACGCTGGAGGTCTCCCTTCTCTCGCTAAAGTACGACATCAATTTATCGCAATTCGCGGATGCGCGTGCTTTGCTTTGCTTTACTACCGCCAAAAATTTCTTCTAGCCCGTTACACAAGAACAAGATAACCGATCACAGCGTGACAACATTATTTTCTAACCTAAACTTTTTTTTTATTCGCTCCTTCAGCTTCCCCTCTATTTATTTTTTCTTATCGCAATACTCGATGATGACGATGACGATGACGATGACGATGACGACTATACCGGTGTGGCGTGCACGCCAGATGGGAGAATTTCTTTGTGATACCTGAACCGACAGACAGACAAAGACAAAGAGACAAAGACAACCGACAAATTTTCAAACCCAAACGAATGAGAATAAAATCGCGCCAAAACTGCAATCTTTTCAATTTTTCTTCTTCCACAATGCTAATGTTGGAGCTTTGAATAATTAGAATTTTGTTTTAAACTACAAAATACAAATACCACCACCATCTTTATTGGTCGACCAATCGGATCGTAGAGAAAAAAAATGTCGACGTCCTCCACCAATGGAACGGACCAATTGACGACTACGGGCGGACGCAATTTTTTATAAACAACGAAATTCATTTATTTTCATTCGTCTTAACCAATCAAGTGCTTACAATTTTTTTTTTTTTTTTTTAATATTATGTATTGTTTAAGAATGCACACATATCTTTTTTCCTTTTAAAATGATGAGATTTGTTATAAATTTTTCGTCAGCATAAGCAGCAATCTTGGTTGCTATTTGCGATAATGCGAACCAATGGGCTAACACATTTATGCAAAAATACAATGTCAGTTGATTTTAAAAAAAAAAAAAAATAAAAGAACAATGATAAAGATAAACGAAACGTGATCCTCTTGACAACGTATATTCAAATAAATATTTCGAATGGAATATGTGCAATTTTGAAAATCTTACACTTGCATTGTCACGTCGTTCGTTCTTAACATCGTGGTAATCTCATTGACCAATCACCATTTTCAAGGTTTAATGAATAATTTGGAAATAAAATTTCCTGTTTACAGACAGAATATTCCGAAAAATTAAATTAACACACGCGCAAAATTGAGAAGAAAAAAAAGAAAGAAAATTTCGATAATGAACGATAAGAAGAAACAGGGCGATGATTGTTCGTCACGTTTTCAAAATCAATTTCGTTGGAATTTTTTCAAGAGCATTAAACCGGCAAATATAAAAATATTCGAGGTAAGCTAGAAATGAATTTTGCCATAGCAATCAATGCAGAACAACCGTTTAGAACCACGCATAAACTCAGGGGAGAGGTGGGGGCTTAGGATAAAATAAATTGGATACATTAATTGAAGATAAAATCACTTTGGAAAACATGTAACATTCTCTCTCGTTCGCGGTTTCAATCGAGGTAAAAGCATCACATTCCGAATGACCGAGAGAGAGAGAGAGAGAAAGAGAGAGATGTAACTCGGAGGATAGTAAATGGTGACGGTCGAAACGATATTCCAAGTGGAGTTTTATTTTTAAAACATCACCCGAAGAACCGGACATGTTTAAGGGCAAAGAAAACGAGTAATACCGAAGGGAAAGATAGGAGCTAGTAGAAAGACAAAAAAAAAAGAAAAATAAAATGTCGCGTGTCTTTTCTACTATCTCGAGATGGTCCTCCTCTTCTCCACACGTAACTGCAATTTTCTCTCTCGTACACATATTCCTAGGGCAGTATATTTCCTTGAGATATAAGGAAACGCCTTGGTTCCGAGAATTCTACTGGGAATTTCTTTCTTTTTTTTTTTTTTCCTTTTTTTTCCCTTCGATACGACTTTTTTCTCTTCCTCTTTTACTAGCGGAAAAATGTTGGGGAAAACCGGGTCTCGTAAAACGATCGCTTTTCTACGGGAAATGTTTTTTCAATGTCTCAGACGAACCAATCCAAATTATAAAAGTACATAATAATAATAATAATAATTTCTTATATTTTATGATCAGATGATCTTTTTCAAGTTCTCGGATCGATGGTAAAACAAAAAAAGGGGAAGGATTAGAATTAGGGTGAAACAGAGAGTCAGTCGATATTCTCGTTTCTTACCTTTATTAAGTTTTTGTATCGGGCTGTACAAAAGAGAGAAAAAGAAATGCGCGCATTTAGACGAAACCCTCCAGCATCAAAGATTTAAACTCCGTTACTCTTTGCCCTGTCGTTCCTTCGTTATTCCCTATTTCTCTCCCTTTCTTTTCAACGTTTACCAAGAGACCTACAACCCTCTCTTTACTCCCTCCTGATCCTACTCAAGGGGTGGACCATTAAACTGGAGTATCAAACGAGTTACAGGAAATGTGCATTTGCTTGGGAAAATAAAAATATCCTATCGGAACTCTCTCTCTCTCTCTCTCTCTTATTGCTTCTTTTTTACTATAACAAAAGTTATTAAATATAATACTAATTAGTTTTGTTGTTAGGTATTCGTTAAAGATACTCGTAAAACTTTTTTTTTTAGTTGGCATGCAAGAACGAGAAACGACATACTTAACTTTTTTAGCTTCAACTTTCTCCCTACAGTTTTTTTCTTCTTTTTTCTTCTTCTCTTTCCGTGTTCCAGAGAGAACAACGGGCGTCCTGTCCGAGTTGGTTGCTGCATAATGCAGTCAGAGCTATATATTGAATATCACGTCTCGTGGTAAAGTGATAACGAAATCCTCCTGAAGCCCCCTCGTCGTACGCCTACGTACGCGGAATATTATACAACCGACGACTAAAAAAAAAAAAAAAAAAAAAAAAAAAACACACAAAACTACTCCTACGTGTCTTTTTTTTCTTAAAAGGGATATATATCTCATAAAAAAACATAGACGTATTCCTATTTTTCTTTTTTATTATTAAACTAACCCCTAGCACGTGGAAAAGCTAAAGGAATCTTTAAAATATCAATTCGTGTAGGGAGGGCGAACACAAAAATTGCCAATATCTTATCCCGAAATAATAAATAAATAATATCGTTCCTTTTCTTTCTTTTTTTTTTTACCAAAGGAAGAAATAGAATAGGAGGACGCTCGTGTCGGGCCAGTAACAGCAGCAGCAGCAGTAGTAGTAGCAGTAACAGGGGTGTGTCTGTAAAGAAGATTCGCGTAAACGCCCTCTCGCTCGCACGTGTGTCAAACGAATATATGTCACCGTCAAATCGAATCTAACGTTTTCAATCATCCCAACACAAAAAATAGAACTTCAGGGAAAAAAGAAAATCTATGCGAAATGATCCAATTCTGTTTCTTTTTATCCTCGTCGTACGATAGTGAAGGATATAAGAGAAAAGAAGCTAGGAAAACGCTTATACTACCACTACTACTACTACTACTACTACTACTACTACTACACATGGTCTATATTCTCCGAAGCAGCAGCTTTTTCTCAGGTCGAGTTGCTATTTAGCAGACAGGAGCGTAGGTAACGCGTATACCCTAGGGGGTTTCAATATCGATCTGCTTTCTCCTGTCCCTCCTTCACCTCCGGTTTTCCTCTCCAACCTCCACAATCCAGAGCCGTTCCTTCGACCGACGCCTCTGGGTCAACGACAGGCATTTCCAAGCCTGTAAATCTGCCTGCTTGCTTGCTTGCTTGCTTGCCTACCTGCCTGCCTGCCTGCTTGCCTGGGTGACCTTCGAGGACACGAGAAGACTCGTGTCAAGGTATTAAAACGAAACGCAACTAACATGTTACCGATATTAACGATATTACGTCACGAACTTCCTTCCTTCCTTCAGTTTATGCTACATTATTATACTTTCAATTAAACCCTGACGCAATCCAACGCAACTTTTATTATTATTCTATTCTTGAAGTTATTCTAATCGTTTATTTTATGTTTATTTTTATTAGGTTAGTTCAAAATTTATGGACTGTAGGTTAGTCATTTATTTATTAGTAGGAATATAATTATTTTAATTTTGATGAAATGTTACTCAAGTTCGATCGATATAACGTGCTATGGTTACTTACTTGCTTTAGTCGTTTCCATCGTTGACGAGACACCTCGTATAACACGTGTGTGTGGTGTGTGTGTATTTTCCTCTGCTCGTGCGAAGAAAAAAAAAAGAAAGAAAGAAAGAAGAAATAGGGTCATGGGGTTATTACACGAAAGCTTTCGCCCTTATTCTACTTATTTTCCATTATAAAATACTTCTACGTAATGTGATAAGAGAACAATTAACAGCGGTGGAATATATGACACACAACGTCATTAATAATAATTAATAATAATAGTAATAATAATCACAGTGGAACAAAAATTATAGGTCGATAGTTATTTATAATAATAATAATAATAATGATATTAATGAATTATTTGTAATCTTAATGTTTTTTTTTTTTTTCATGTAAAACCTGCTTTGTGTCGAGATCTTCTTTCCTGGTCCTCAATTTCTTTCAATCTTCTTTTTTTTTTTTTTTTATCTTCAAGATGATTTCTTCTCTCTTTGGTAACGAAACGTTGACTAACGTCGTCCTCGAGAGTACTGGAACGACTGACAGTTAGAAAACATTTTAATCAAGCGAATCTAGAACGCATCTAAAACGCATTTAGGATGCATCTAGAACGCATGCTACATTTTTCTTTTTCTTCTGATAATATCATCTCTCTCATATCATCATACGCTTATCAGTTAATACAATTATTTTTTTCTTCTTTTTTCTTTTTGTGTTCATTTAACATTTCCAAATTTTCTCATCTTCCTCACGCACGCACGCACACACATACTCTTACAAATAAATAATACATATCTATATCGTATATGTGTATGTGTGTTATATGTAATTCCTATGTTATACCCTTTGTACTCGGATAAACATATAAAAGCACTTAACTTAAGTTACTTTTTCCTAGGTTTTTTTTATTTTTTTTTATTTTTATTGCTACTGCTGCTCTCCTAACACACATACATTCTTATGTTCATATATATATATATATGAAACATATATTCGTGTATGCGTGAACGTTTTATAATCCACAAAATAATAAACGCATTCTCTTTCACTTTAATCGATCTCGTTTTGCCTGTTTCTCAGAATTATACATAGAAATTTGTTACATATATATATATATAAGTTCTTTATCACACCTATCAGAGATCTTGTTGTGTTTTTTTTAAATTTTTTTTCTCTCAACGATAAGATGATAAGAATCAATTCGTGAAACTTGAGAAAAGCATTTTACGTGGAAGACCTTTCGAGATCGTTTCTTAAACGTTTAACATATTTTTTATATATAATTATATTAATATATTTAACCCTTTTGTTAACAGCAACAATACCAAAAAAAAAAAACATGAGCAGCATATATATCATAGAATGCCCTAACAAAAGGGTTAAATTACGAGCTTATGCAAAAAGGTTGTTTCATTTAAAAAACTGTCGAGTTAAAATGGGGTAAATGGTCCTGCCTGGATCAAATGAACGAATTAATTAATGGTCCATGGGAAGTTTAATCGAGGTTTTGCCTCTTTTTTTTTTTTTATCCATAATTATTTTTTCATATACGATTGCAACTTACAAATATTTTCTAACGTACATCATATTTTTATATATATCATCATCATCATCATCATCTCGAGTTATCTAACACGTGCA